CTCTCCCTTATCTTAATAAAACTCTTGTTAGTGGATTCTGTCATGTTTCGTGTCGTTTCCTCGAAGGGTAAGAGTGCCACAAAAAAACCCAACATCTGTGACTTCAGTTTTAAAGGATTTGGACAGCTCACTACTCTTGCCTTGTTGCTTTCAACATGATATCTCTCTCTTGGGCTGGCTGCCTTCCCTGTATACAGTTCTTCTTGGCAGATGTCTCATGGCTTTGACATGCCCAATATCTTGGAGTCTCCACCATGATCCAGCTTTACCTCCTTCATGTGGTGGTCTCTCGGTGCCCCCTGCAGGGACTCTTAACTCTGCCTGCCGTACATTGCCTTGCCCGAGTGGCTCTCTAGAGGAAAAATCCACAACCATGTCAGTGCTGCACTCTGCATACTTCCAAAGCCAGAGTACATGAGGAGGAAACTGCCAAGTTTGGCTGCCAGCTTGGGATGAACCTCCCTCCACTGCTCTAGTCATATAATCAGCAGCTATTACTATAGACGATACAGAAGGAGTACTATGGACCAAAGAGAAGGATAAATGCATGGGAGCTGTGACCACTTTTGTAAGTCCTTCACAAAAACACCATAAAGGGAAGAGGAGGAGTTGTGAAGAAGAAGGGAGTCAGCAGGAGTGGGAGGGGGACAACAGAAGATCATGGATGGTGCACACAATCAGAGTACATTGTATACAAATATGAAATCGCCAAAAGTTATACAAACACGAAACTACCTCCCAAAGCCAGATCATTCACTAGGAACAATTTCAGAGATGCTGAGATGGTTCAGTATACAGAAATTGATGAATGTAATTCCTCATATAAATGGTCCCAAAGACAGAAATAACATGATCATCTCAATGGATACCAAAACAGCCTTTGACAACATCCAAAGCCCATTCATGATAAAAAGCCCTGGAAAGAATATGGATAAGTCACAGTTTTAGTGCACAATGACTTTTAAAGGGATCTGCAAAATGGAAAAATAGATAAAGTGTCCAGAGGGTTTTGGTGTTGTTTGGTTTCCTTTTTCTTTTCTTTTCTTTCTTTCTTTCTTTCTTTCATTCGTTTTTGTTTTTGTTTTGGGTTTTTTGAGACATTTTGAGGATTTCTTTGTGTAGCTCTGGCTGTCCTGGAACTCACTATGTAGACCAGCCTGGTCTTGAACTCAGAGATCTGTCTGCCTCTACCTCCCCAGTGCTGGGATTAAAGGCATGAATCACTGTCTGGATAGAGGTTTTAATTAGTTATTTTCAGGAGTATCATGGGCAGATTGATTTCGCATTATTGATGTCTTTAAAACTATTATAAATTTGCAAAAGACCAGTGTTCACATTTCATTCTGCTGTGACGAAACACTGACCATAACCAATTTAGGGGAGTATAGAATTTTTTTTTGGCTTACACTTCAGACCACAGTCCATCATGAGAGGAAGTCGGGGCAGGGACTCAAGCAGGAACTTGAAGTAGACACCACGGAGATATGGTACTTGCTGGCTCACTCACTACACTTATGCTTACCTTGTTTTCTTATATAACACAGGACCACTTGCCCAGGGAATGGTGCTGCCCATAGTGGTCCTGGCTATCCTAAATCAGTTAACAAGCAATACTCTCCCCACACCTCATAATCATGCCTACAGGCCAATCAGATCTGGGCAAGTCCCTGATTGAGACTCATGTCTTGGGTGATCATATGACTCTAGGCTGTGTCAGGTTGACAGTGAAAGGTAACTAGGATGACTGGTCAGTTAGGACTTCCCCTAAAGGCACTAAAATAGTAAGCACATTTTTTCACAGTTAGACACACTAAAGACATTTTAGCATGATTATTTCTTTATCACAAATGGCTCTACAGAGCCCAATGGATAAGACATGGAACTCCAGAACTTTATTTTTTACAAGGCAGATGCCCAAAGGTGCTAGGAGTTAGGGTGCTAGAGGATGAAAGATGTGGCCTCTGACTTGGGGATTGTGTTCCAGGTAATCCTCAATAAAATTTTTTTCAGTTAACTGTAGGCAGATTTTTCTGTCTCACCAGCTAGCTCCCAAATAACCACAGGGAGACTTCTTATTAATTATGAAAGCTCAGGAAATAGCTTAAGCTTGTTACTTACTAGCTCTTACAACTAATGTTAAGCCATTTCTATCAATCTATGTGTGCCATGTGGCTTGTAGTCTTACCTGTCCTCTATCACGTCTTGCTCCCTCTGCATCTCCTGGTGACTCTTGTAGCCCTACCCTTCTTCTTCCCAGCATCCTCTCTGCTCTGAAAATCCTGCTTAGCTATTGGCTGTTCAGCTTTTTTATCCAAATAACAAATCTTCACAGTGTACAAAAAGATTATCCCACAACAATTAACAGTTATCTCTGGTTAAATAGACAAGTCACATATATGACACCAGATAAGTCCAATTATGGCCATTGATATTAACTTTAAAGTGTCCTAAGAAGCCTAAAATCTTTAAAGATTCTAAATTGTTTCAAAAATAACCACTTCAGTAGCTATGGGGATGGTTGCTTTATGTGTCTATAATCTTTCAGAGTATGCCTTCTAAAATTTAAAGCTTAAAGTGCTTCATTAGGCTGTTGTCATACAAACAACTGTTTACACTGACAATCTTTTTAGATGTACATTGATAACTATATTGCAGGGAGCTATCCCTGGCCGTGGATGGGTCCTATAGAGGCTGTAAGGAGTCAGCAGGGAAGAAAGTGAGCCAGGCCATGGTGGTCGGGAGAATCTTGCAGCCTGACTGACTAGCAGCCAGAGTGTTTATTTATACATAATTTAGTTACCAGGGATACATTCATGATGTTCCAAAACATAGATCATATAATTTTTGGTTTTGGACATGTGTTTCACGTTCTTTTGCTCATCTTTTAGTCATCATTAATAAACTATGACAGAACAGAGTTATCATTTCCAATCATTTTCCCTCAAGTTTTAACATCATTAATAAACAGAGTTATCATTCTTACTCATTAACCCCATAACCCAATTTTTGAGAATCTAGAGGCATATGACAGCCTGTGCTCAGGCTGGTTGCTTTGGTTGCTTCAAGGACACTAGACCAAAACAAAAATCTTCAACCACCCTGGGCATTTTGCCATGTCCCAAACAGTGTATTATTAACTCTTAGTGGTCAGAGTGCCCAGGAAAAATCCTCAGGCCAAAGCCACTGCAGTTATTATTCAAATTCTGACATAATACAATCAATGTTCACATTTATATCCTTATAGAATTTGTCTATATGTCTAATCCTGGCATTCTGTTGTTCCTTGGCCATGTGACATTGTAGTGGCTCCACATTGAGCTAACTTCTGAGGGAGGTAGGTTCTAACATCTTGTACTTTCATCATCTTTCCACTCCACACTTTGCTAATCAGTATGTCTCTATGTAGGGCAGAGTTGTATGCTACGTAATTGTCTGAGTGTACAGTGGGAAGAGCCTTGTAATCTGAACTGTGGCCAACTCCTCTAGCCCACTGGATCTTGTTGACCTTTTTAATTTTACTTTGTTTTGATTCTCTTGTTCCTATGTAAGTACAAGTACAGATGTTTCAAGAATATCTAATAGCCTCATGAAGAGACCTCTGGCTTTATGTGTCATAACCTCTAAGGCATAAGGAAGACCTTCAAGTAGATAAGGATATCTCCCTAAAAGCGGGGGGGGGGGGGGGGGGGGGGGGGGGGGGGAATAGTATGTTCAGGACTTTCCTGGGTAAGCTTAGGAGCAGCATTCCTGGGAGAAGGCATAAATGATTCATAAAGAATTTTCTATCAATCCAATATCCTCAGATTGTACAAATATTAAAAGTGCCCCAAGTATGTAACAGGTGGAGATGAGAACCAAAGGTGGCATGGCAGCCATCATGGGGCTCAGCTTTGCTGGATCTTTGTCAAACAGCTGTGCTGGCTTTATGACTTCTGCCATTCCATTCAGATATGGCTGTGCCACTATAGTATGATCAACATTTTTAGTACAAATATCAAATGTTTCCAAGCACTTTACATTCCAAGTAGTGCACTGCAATAGATAAATGGAATGAATATCGGTTACTGTGAAAGTCCTAATAGAAAGATACACATAGTGAAATTGACTAAACCGTGAACAAAAAAGAAATAAAAAGACATGACTGCTTTTAAGGGATTGAGGTCTTTAGTATAGCTATAAGGAGGAGCATAGTCAAGAAGGGTCCAGACTGACCATGACTGGCAAATTAAACTGGGCCATGTGAGAAGAGGAAGAGAGAGGAATCAGGAGTTAGGAGGCTAGGAGCAAGCCAGGAGACTAAGAAACCAAGAGGCCAGCTTAGCCAAAATGCCTGAGTTATATAGGGAAGAGAAACAGGGAAAGAGAAGCCCAGCCTGGGCTGGACAGTTGAGAGTAGGGGGTCTGGTATGTCAGCCAGGATGACTCTGCAACAGGTTGGGACTGAGGGAGGCTGGCTGCTAGAGTCCACTTCGTTAAATAGGCATTTTAGCCATTTGTCTTGAGTTTGAGACCTTCTTACATCTTAGCTTTTTTGTTGACTGTAAAGAGCAACGTAGTCTTTCCCATAAGTACTTTCTGCTGAAATAGGGGCATTTGTTGGGGGAGGAGGGCAGGAAGGTTGAAATGATGATCGCTGGAAAGATGGTCATAGGATGGGAAGAGAGAGAAGAATACAGATCTTACAGACTGTAAATTGCTAAACCTTTGATTTTGTTTCATGATTTCCATATAAATTTTTACATCTGTTTTGTGTTGATATGCTATGAAAAGGTACAAAACAAGGTAGTTTGAGGCAACATGAACCCGTGTTCTTAACCCATTACCGCTACTATTCAGTTGAACAATAAGCTCTTGCTGCCTTTGACCTGAGAGCTATGTTTTGCATGGACATGTTATTTGGTGGGAACCTGAATCCATATTCCCAGGCCACAGTCACTCATATTTGGTGCAATAACCTGTTTTTTATTCTTCTTGAGATAGGGGCTGCGTTTTGAGTCCGGCATAGTTGTAGCAAATAACTGGGACTGGAAGGAGTCCTGGGAATACAAGGCTGAGCACATGGAAAATGCTCAGCGGCTATGTTTCTTGAGAAAACGCCCAGGAACAAGAAGCACGGTTTGTCCCTGCCCTCGGCCCGTCGGTCCTGGCACGAGAAGGCACTAGAGAGCTGAAGAATCGAAACACTCGCAGTGATGGCATTTATGACAGACAGTGAGCCGTAGCCTGTTGGACTGCGGTGGGGTTCTGAGTTTTCAAGTTGTGACTGGTAGAGCCCTCTGGCTTTCCTCGGGTATTCAAGCGGGCGAGGCTACAGGGCGGCCCGGATCCCCAGCGTGGAGTCAGCGTGCGCAGCTCTCCTCTGCCGGAGTCCTGCAGCTGGGTTGCTCTGGCTGAGGACCAGGAGTCTAGACTGTCTTGGACAGGAGAGATGAGGGACCTGGAGGAGCGTGGAGCCAGGGCGAAAGCGGCAGACCCGCCTGCGCACACGCTCAGCCAATCAAGAGCTCACTTCCGGCTTTCCCCTGGAAAGCCGTCCGTCCGCGGGTCCTCTCTCTCTCTCCCGTTTCTCGTTTCCCTCCGGCGGGTGCGTGCGAAGGACAACTTCCGCTTCCGGCGTCGTGCTTGCGGGCCGGAGCAGTTGCGGCTGTGAGGTTGGGCGATTCAGCGAGCCCCGTAGGTACGGGCCGTCAGTCTGGTTCCCAGTGAGGTCGGTGCTCAAGCCTCCGACAGGCTGCTCCCAAGGCCCGCGTCTGGACTGGAAGGCAAGTTTCCCAACTGCCGGGGAGGTGCTCCGGGGAGTGCGAGGGTGCCCGATCCTGAGGAGATGGGGCGGGGAGGGGATCTTCCAGCAGGTGACCTAGGTTACCCAGCTCCGTTGGGTGTGTTTTTCGGAGCAAAAAGAGGAGAGCACAGGTAGGGGAAAATGTGCTTCCTCCAGTTGCTGCGAGACGGGTCTGGCCAGCACTGTTGTGGTGTTTTAAACTTGTATGTTTTCGTTTAAATTAGAAAGCCACTTCATTAGTTCAGTGAGTGGCTAGGCCTGAGTTGTCCAGGATAGTAGGCACTTGCCACATATGGCCGTTTCAGTTTAAAATTTAAGATTGTTTTTCAGTTTCCCAAGGTACATTTGAAATTCTCTGTAACCACGTGTAGTTAATGGCTACTGTATTGAGAGCCGCAGATAGAATATGTTTCTGTCATCACAAAAATGAACACTGCCGATGGTTTTAAGATATGTAAAACATAATAAAAGGATAATATTGGTACTGGTAACTCTTCTACTTTATGGCATAAGAAAGAAATGAATTTGAAGATAGCTAAGCAGTTTCTACCTCTATTCGGAGAACAAATATATCATTACTTCATAAACAAATGAAATTTACTCCCCCCCCCCATGTTGCCCTGATTATAATATATTACCCCATGCCACCCTGTTCCATATAGGTTAAGACTTATTTATAGTTGATAAACAGCCACCATGGAGGCCAAGGATCACAAGAAACACAGAAAGAAGCACAGTGGGCCTAAAGCTGAGAAGAAAAAGAAACGGTACCTGCAGGATCTCCAGCTCGGAGATGAAGAGGATGCTCGGAAGAGAAACCCTAAAGCTTTTGCAGTCCAGTCTGCTGTGCGGATGGCTCGCTCCTTTCACAGGTGTGTTTAGCTGGGGTTGGTGGTTCTTCCATTTCATTAAGTAGTAGGAGCCTCTCTCAGATGGCATTTGCCTTTGTGAGTCTAATTAAGATCTGAAGGACATAGGCAATGCCATATTGCTTTCCCTCACATTTTAGAACTCCAACCAAAGAAGCATTTTGCCTCCAACATCTGTCCTTTGCCTTTTTATCCCCCACGAGAAAAGAATTTATATTAGTTCACAGAAAAATTTTGTAAACTTTAACTATCTCCATGGTAATATGTGCCCCCCCCCCATCCTTCATTTAATGTAAAGTACTAAAATAATTGTATTTAGGGAGACATTCTATATATCCAGCAGTTTCTTTTAAACATTACTGAATTAAGTTCTTTCGTTTGTTTGGTTTTGCATTTTCAAGACAGGGTTTCTCTATGTAGTCTGCTTTCTTGGAATTCACTCTATAGACCAGGCTGGCCTCAAACTCACAGAGATTCCCCTGCCTCTGCCTCCTGAGTGCTGGGATTAAAGGCTTATGCGACCGCTGCCCAGTCTTAATTCAATTCTTTAACTGCATTAAGAGGTTAGGAGTTGTTCTCACCCCAGTTCTGTGGATGAGAGAACAGGTCCGGGGCACAGATTCAATAGCCGGTTGATCGATAGAACACTTTATCTCCTGTACCTCTGCTTGTGTTACATACTGTCTCCATCTTGGCCTATTATTCTCTTAAACAGTAAAGTCAAATCAGTCTGATTTACTATGTGTTTGATGATTATTAGCTTTATTTTTTTAGTCATCTGTTTTATCTTTAGTGAAGAATAGATTTTGGAGGGGGTGGGAGGGAAGGGGGTGGTTAGAAATTAGCCAGTTAAAGTTAATCGTATTATCTTTTCTCTATAAAATCTAACTTTAACATGTTAAGGTCTTTTGTGTTCTGGAAGTAAACTTTTTTTTCCCCCCAAAACCATTAGGACTCAGGATTTAAAGACAAAAAAGCATCACATTCCGGTGGTTGACCGGACTCCACTAGAACCTCCACCAATAGTGGTAGTGGTGATGGGGCCTCCAAAAGTTGGAAAGAGCACTTTGATACGGTGCCTCATTCGGAATTTTACCAGACAGAAGTTGACTGAGATCAGAGGCCCTGTGACAATTGTGTCAGGTAGGGAGTGCTGCCTTGGAGCTGGTGTGGCAAGTATTGTGCCTGAGGTCTAACAAAACTGAGTTATGTCTGCCCAAACAGAAAATATAATGCCCATGCTGGTACATTGTATAACCACATATTTGCTTTTACTGAGTTGCCTGTAACTTCAAAGGTGACTTCTTAGTCATAACAGTGTTGGTGTGTACCACCTTAGTCTGACGGGTTGACTTGGTCAAGTGTGCTTCTTTTACTGAGTTGCCTGTAACTTCAAAGGTGACTTCTTAGTCATTACAGTGTTGGTGTGTACCACCTTAGTCTGATGGGTTGAGTTTGTCAAGTGTGCTTCTTTTACTGAGTTGCCTGTAGCTTCAAAGGTGACTTCTTAGACATAACAGTGTTGGTGTGTACCACCTTAGACTGACGGGTTGACTTTGTCAAGTGTGCTGCTTGAAAGACTTAGCACTGCTCCCGGCATTGTGAGCATGTGCATTTCATGATAAATTGGCTCCCGTGTACCACAGACATCTGCTTTGCTTCTCAAAGCTACTCTTTCTGAGAATTTATATGCTTTTTTTTTGTTCCTGTTTTTGAATCAGGGTCTCTCTGTGTAGCTCTGGCACCCCTGGAACTTGCTATGTAGACCAGGCTGGCCTTGAACTCACAGAGATGCACTTGTCTCTGGCTCCCAAGCACTGGGTTTCTGATATCTGTTATTAAATGAGGGAAAGTGAAGTCAGTTCTCCAAATGGTAATGGTAGAAACAGAAGTACCTTGTTATAGTAGCCATGGAGTAGACATTTCTTTGTCTTTGGGATATCCTTAATCATTATATTTTAACTGGGAAAGTTACTGTTCCATGAACATTTTGACTTATTAGTTTGGGGATATTTCTATTTATAGTAGTAGAACAGGAACATATGACTTTCCCATGAACATCCTGTTACATTGTGTTTGATGATGTTTTTAGCCATATTGAGAGTATAGAAAAGTTTGATGGAGATAAAGAGTGGCCTGTGGCTCAGTAGGATCATGGTCATTAGAAACCCCATCTAGGATTGTACCTTTTTTAATACCTTTATTTATCTGGGTGCAGTTGTTGTATTTTAAAATTAAGGCAAGACCAATGCAAGGAAACTAGGATGGAATTGATACAACTATCACATTCCTATAGAGGTGTATGGTGTTTTACTGGATACAGTTAGAAACATAATTATAGAGTTAGTGACAGAGTGTTTTCAAGATTTTGAAAGGTAAACTTTCATCTTGTCCTTACAGGTAAAAAGCGCAGACTTACCATTATTGAGTGTGGGTGTGACATCAATGTGATGATTGATCTGGCAAAAGTAGCAGATCTGGTAAGTCACTAAGGTGGCCTGGGATCACGACAGAGAGTGTGACAGTGTGATGGGCTCTGTATCTCATTGCAGGGAAACACTGGTGGTTATTAAGGAAAGGTAGAGTAGAAGTGGTTGAAATTATGATATTGTTAATATCATAAAAATGGAATGTGCATGATGAATGCATTCTAAAACCAAATGAAACCATAGGGGTGAGAAAATAATGGGCAAGATTAATATATGAATATACACAGGCACACACGGCAAGATTGTATCAGTATACACATGCATAGACACATACACATACACACACCTTGCTTGCATATTGCCTACCATTTCTTGAACTCTCGCTAGGCACTATACTAATAGCTTTCTGTAAACTTAGCTCATATTACCACCAATGTGCTCATTCAGATATTATGTGTACTACTTTACATACGATGAAATCAAGGCTCCCATCAGCTAAGTATTTTGTCTTGGAATGAGCCCTCTTTCTTTCTTTCTTCCTTCCTTCCTTCCTTCCTTCCTTCCTTCCTTCCTTCCTTCCTTCCTTCCTCTCTCTCTCTCTCTCTCTTTCTTTCTTTTTTTTCCTTCCTTCCCTTCCTTTCTTCCTTTCTCTCTCTCTCTCTCTCTCTCTCATCTCTCTCTCTCCTCTCTCTCTCTCTCGCTCTCTCTCTCTCTCTCGCTCTCTCTCTCGCTCTCTCTCTCGCTCTCTCTCTCTCTTTTGTTCATTCGTATTTTTTTTCCCCTGAGACAAGATTTCTCTGTGTAGTCCTGGCTGTCCTGAAACTTACTCTGTAGACCAAGTTGGCCTTAGATTCAGAGATCCACCTGCCTTTGCCTCCTGAGTGTTGGAGTTAAAGGTGTGTTCCACCATGCTTGGCTGATGTCTTTATATTTATTTAGTTAGTGATTTGAGTTTGGTTATTTATTAGAACACTGGCAATTTATCACCAATGCCCCTCCCAGAATCTATTGACTGCATGGAGTCTCAGGCTCATGCATGAGGGAATGGTGATGGGCTCAGTCATGTCCAGGTAATTACAGATACAGTGAGTTCTTGAGTGCACTCTTCCCTATCTTCTGGCTTTAACAGTTCTTTTCACCCTGTCTTCTGCAGTATTGCTGAGCCACGGAGAGAGTGATACAGTGGGACCAATGTCCTGTTTTAGGGCCAAGCACTCTACAGTCATTATTCTTAGCACTTTGACCAGCAGTGAATCTGTTAACTGCCACCCATTGCAAAAAAAATCTCTGGAAAAGTCCTAGAGTTGGACTAATCCAATTTGTATTGTTTTTTTACTTCTGGTACAGGATCTTACTATGAGCCCCGTGTGCTGGCCTAGAACTCCTCATGTAAACCAGTCTAGCCTCAAACTCAGAGATCTGCCTGTCTCTGTCTCCCAGGTGCTGGGATTAAAGGTGTGCATCACCAAACCTGGCTAAACATAACCATTTAGAAGGCAGTCTGACACTGTCCTTTTAACAAAACGCCAGTAGTAGACTCCTTTAGAGCCTATGACCTCCCCAGTCATGGGCTCTAGACCAGTTTTACAATGCTAAATGCGAGTTCTGTGGAGCAGGCCTCAAATTGAATCAAAAGGCAGTTGGTTACCACCATAGTGGTCATTTGAGTGATGAACATAACTAGATTTGCAGGTCGTCTTTGTTGTAGCTCATGGGGTTCACAGCTGGGAAAGATGCTTGATGACCCCACCCCCCAACAGTTTGTATATTCCATAAAATTTCCATTCTTAATGGTTATGGTAGGGTGAAGCGGTCAGGGTTTATCAATGAAAAATCTATATAGTACTAAGCAGAAGAAAAAGATGGAGCCTGCATTGAATTTGGGAACTGGTGGAGGTCATTACTTTTTTTTTTTTTTTCAGTTGTCTCTTAACCTAGCATGACAGGATAACAGATGTCCTGGATTGTGTGTGTATGTGTGTGTGTATTTAATTTAACCAGATGCCAAAGAGCTACAGATTTTTGTTCTTTGGACCAGAAAAACTCCAAAAATATAAAAGTTACCAGTCTGTCCTGATTAAAAATTTTTTTAGGATTCATTTATTTTATTATATGTATATTGAATGGTTTGCTTGCATGTGAGTCTGTGTGCCATGTGCATGCCTGGTGCCTGCAGTGGCCAGAAGAGGCCCTGGAACTGGAGTTATAGATAGTTGTGAGCTGCCATATGGGTGCTGGGAATTGAGCAAGTGCTCTAACTGTTGAACCATCTTTCCTCTAGTCCCATCAAACTATATTGATACTAAAGATACATATTTTTTAACTTGGGGTTTATAAATAATGTTACTCTTAGTACAACTAGTATAAACTTGGTAAGCCTTATATTTTTAAAATTACTGAAATACTAGTGATTCTGTAGTTTTGAGAGCATGAATATTAGTGGAGATACCTTTTGTGTCATTCTTTTGAATATTTAAGCAAACAAGTGAGTGGCTTGATTTGACCCATGGGCTGTAACTTGCTGACTCTTGGTCTGGGTGGAGGATTGTCATGGCTTCTGTGAGAAATTGTGTTCTGTTTTTAGGTGCTAATGCTTATAGATGCCAGCTTCGGGGTTCGTTGAAATGGAGACATTTGAGTTTCTAAACATCTGTCAAGTACATGGCTTCCCTAAAATCATGGGCGTTCTTACCCATCTAGACTCCTTCAAGCATAACAAGCAACTCAAGAAGACCAAGAAGCGGTTAAAGCATAGGTTCTGGACAGAAGTCTACCCGGTAGGAAGAAAAACTATTATCAAGTCCTGTCACTTGTGACCCTTTCAAGCAGCCAGAATGAAGAGCTCTTCATAAATCTCTGGGGTTTTCCTGTATGCGTGTATTTCTAGTCCTTGGCCTGTTTCCCCACGTGGTCTTTACCCGGGTCTCTTGATGTATCACACTTGCTTCTGTACACATCCGTCAGAGAGTGTACCCTCTACTGGTCTGGTTTGATGCAGTGCCTCCAAAGTTTCTGCTAGTTCAGGACCAGGACCTGCCATTTCTCCTCATACTGCTGTGGCCCATTGGTCACAAAGTCCTTTCTCTGCTTAGGAACCTCAGTGCCTTCTCCACAGATGCCGGTGTTTAACTGAGAGGAGCTTGCTTTGGTGAGACCCTCACATGACAAGCCCTGAAGAAAGCAGCCAGCTTTGAAAACGCCAAGACATTGGCTCCTAATGACCCTGCTTCTTAGGTGACATGTGTGTAATTGGCTTTCATTTTTACTTTGTTTTCTTTTTAATGTTTAGGGTGCCAAGCTGTTCTACCTTTCTGGAATGGTACATGGAGAATATCAGAACCAAGAGATTCATAACCTGGGCCGATTTATCACAGTTATGAAGTTTAGGCCTCTCACGTGGCAAACTTCTCATCCTTACATCCTGGCAGACAGGTAAAATATAAGTGTGAGTTTCTTTTTCTCCAGGTCTGTATATTTCATTTTAACTTTTTTAAGGCTTGAGAAGGATCAGTAATAGTGCCTATTATATGCAGTCACTGGAAGATACTGTGCTTTCTAGGGCGAATAATTATAAATATTTCCAGTGAAGCTAAGGACTGGGGATGCAACTCAGTGCATTAGAGGCTTTTGCAAAGCCTCTGGCTGATTCCTAGCATTTTTTTCTTTTTCTTTTGTTTGTGTGGGGTTTTTTTGTTGTTGTTGTTGTTGTTTGTTTGTTTTGTTTTTGAGACAGGGTTTCTCTGTGTAGACCTGGCTGTCCTGGGACTCACTCTGTAGACCAGGCTGGCCTACATCTGTCTTGGAGTGCTGGGATTAAAGATGTGTACCACTACTGCCTGCCTGCCAGCCTGCCTGCCTGACTGCCTATCTCTGTCTCTGTCTCTGTCTCTGTCTCTCTCTCTGTCTCTGTTTCTCTCTCTCTCTCTCTCTCTTTAAACAAAGCTAGGTGGTCAGGTGGTGGTAGCACACGCCTTTAATCCCAGCACTCAGGAGGCAGAGAGAAGCGGATCGCTTGAGTTCTGAGTTCGAGGCCAACCTGGTCTACAAAGTGAGTTCAGAACAGCCAGAGCTACACACAGAGAAACCTAGTCTTGAAAAACCAACCAACCAACCATCCAAACAACAACAACAAAACCAAACAAACTGGCTAACAGAAAAATGGGGAAATTTTGAGACGCCAGTGATGAAGTCCTTGTGCCTAGAGCACCAGTTGCTCAGTACCTCTGCTTTACTTGTGTTTTGTTTTCTCAGCCTCTAATTCCTTCCTTAGAGGAATACAAGATAAAGCAAAACCTCAGCCAGCTGGTTAATCTTAACTCTTCCATAAAGGGTTTTTCTAAACATGTTCTGTGCTCTTCCCTGACTCAGTATCTTGTGGAGTGCATTACCATATGGAGCCGGTTGGAGGCAGTCATGGTTTTGCTCCTTGTCCTCTGGAACATGGTGAACCATGCTTCTGTATTTCTGTATCTTATAGTTTTCTAAATGATGTGCTTAAGTCTTGTTCTTGTGGTGCTCAAGATTGAGCTCTAAGCCTCATGTGCTGGGCAGTGTTGAACCACTGAGCCGTGCTCCCAGCCCATGAACAAGAGTGGTCAACACGTGATGAGAAGTGTAAGTACTTTTTACGTTTCTTCCTGCAGTGTGATTGTATTCATTTTTCTAGGATGGAAGATTTGACAAACCCTGAGGACATCCGCACAAACATCAAGTGTGACCGAAAGGTGTCTCTTTATGGTTATTTACGAGGGGCCTACCTGAAAAATAACAGCCAGATTCACATGCCAGGTATTCTCTTACTGTAAAGCACACTGTATTTGTCAACCTCTTGGGGTGGTTTTGTTCCTCCAGAACATTGAGAAATGACCAAAGAAGGCAGAACCATGGTCTGGAGGTTTTAGAAATAACCCAGTTGTGTATCATCTGCCAAAATGTTGAGTGGATGCACATACTGTCCAGCTAGCAAGGTCTACTGCCTCAGTGCCTTTTCTGGGTCATGCCTCAAGCCTGCAGATGCAAGCATGTGTTTTCCCAACACATGTGAATGTGTTGACTTCTTGTCAAGTTGCTTCCTGGGTTCTGTCTTCCAGGTGTAGGGGATTTTGCTGTCAGTGATGTCAGTTTTCTCCCGGACCCCTGTGCTCTCCCGGAACAGCAAAAGAAGCGCTGTTTGAATGAGAAGGAGAAGCTGGTCTATGCGCCTCTCTCTGGAGTTGGGGGTGTGCTCTATGACAAAGATGCTGTCTACGTCGACCTTGGTGGTAGCCATGGCTTTCAGGCAATGGTAAGAAAGGGTCTCTTTTCTGAATTGTTCTTTGCAAATCTTTTTGTCAACTATTGCGTTCATCTTCTGGTTATTAAAGCTTTATTTCTTTTAATCCAAGTTATGATAAAAAGAGTTGATTATAAAGGATGGTTTTCATTGTAGCAAGCAAAAAATAAAAATCGTGTCCTTCCTGCTCTTCAGATTTGAAGTCCCCAGTTGTTAGCACCACCGCCATGCTCATCATCTTTCTAGAAAACTAGTGTTCTCTAGGTCTAGAGTGCTCTTATTCTGGCTTTGCTTTTCTTTCTTTCTTTTTTTTTTTTTTTTGAGACAGGCTCTCTACATAGCCCTGGCTGGTATGTGTTTTGTGTGTGTGTGTGTAAGTAATTAGTGGTATTTTTATTCTTTTATTCTTTCTAATTTACATCTTCTAAAATCAAAATTAATTAAATCACATTTCCCCTTCCCTTTTCTCCAACCCCTTCTGTGACCTCCCCCCTCAAGCTGATGGCCTCTTTTTCTTTGATTATTATTGTTATTTATAAATATATTCACATGTGTAATTATAAATATGTACCTATCACTGAGTCCGTTTGATGGTATTTGTATGTATTTGATTTCAGGACTGACCAGTTTGTATTGGATAATTAATTAATCAGGGGATTCATCTCTGGGGAAGACTCTCTCCCTCCCTCAGCAGGCATTAGTTGTTACAGTTCTTTGTGGGTGGGATCTTGTGAAGGTTCCCCCTGTCGCATTAGCATGACTATTGGTGTTGTCATTGTTCAAGTCTTGTCTAGGCAGCCATTCTGTTGAGATGTCAAGGGTGTAGCTGCCCTGCCATTTCTAGGAAACACAATCTTAACCACAGACCTGCTGCTCCTCTGGCTCTTAAGTCTTTCTGCCCCTCTTTGTTCTCTGAAGCTTAGGTCAGGAGTTGTGTTGTAGGATGTCCATTGAGACTGGACTCCCCACCATATGTTGATCTCTGCATTGTGACCAGTTATAGTTTCCTATAATGGTCTCTATTTGCTATAAAGAGAAGCTCTTTATAGAGGTGATAGCTACACTTTTTTGAGGGGTGATAGCTACACTTCTGTGTGGGTATATGGATATGTTTTAGAATGCAGTTGGGAATTAAGCTTGTCTCGTAAAGTGGTGGTCGTAAGTCCTCTAAGATCCATGACTTCACTAGCCCCTCGTTGGTTAACTTTCCAATACCAAGCATGGTTTCCTTCCTGTGGACAGCTGGTGGTTATCACCCAGATGTGAGTGCCAGTATTACACCTTTAGGGACATCTTGCCACATTGGCCATTGTTGTGGTTCATAGGCATCACAGCTGGGTAGGACTATTCATTGCTTCCTTCCCTTGGTGGCTTGCTTAGTATTTTCTGGTAGTATAATCAGTAGACCTCAGGAAGGAGCTTTCAGGTTGGATCCATCTTGACTCTAGGTTCTGTGTCCTAAGTACGTGGTGTCTTCAGCAATAGAAACTTATCTTCAACCTCTGAGAAGCAATGAAGGACAACTGCAATAGCTTGAATTGTTCTGGGAGTCACTTGGACTCCCGTGACCGTCCCTTCACGTGGAAGTTTTTCATGCTGGGTACTGGGGGTTTTGTTAGATAGTCTGTGGCCCTTGTGATGAACATTGTCAGTCTAAATGGCATACTTCATTTAGGATCTCTTATCGTGTGTGTGTGTGTGTGTGTGTGTGTGTGTGTGTGTGTGTGTGTGTGTGTGTGTGTGTGTGTACATTTAAGATATGTACACCTGTGCCTGTATACGTTATATATAATGTTATGTGAATATAAAATAGTGATTTCTTGAGGTTTTATTAAACATCCTGTGTTGTTTGTCCTCCTTGCTTTTCCTGTTGAACTTTCTCTTCCCTCAGTTAGAGCCGTGTGTGTGTGTGTGTGTGTGTGTGTGTGTGTGTGTGTGTGTGTGTGTAAGTGTAAGAAATCTGAGGTTCTTTTGGAAAGATTTCTTTGACGATTTTCTATATGTGTATATTATGTTTTGGTCATTGTCACCCCAGTTACCCTGTCCTCCCCTCGCACCTCTGGCCACCTTCAGTAGGCGCCCCTCCTTTCAGACTCACCCTGACTAGTTCCAGCATGTGTACGGGATGGAGTGGAGCAGTTTCCGTACTTGCTTCCCTCCTTGTGGCCCCTCATCTTTCCTGCTGAAGCTTCTCAGCATACCCCCCTTTTTTTTTTGATTTTTCAAAAAGGTTTCTCTGTGAAACAGCCCTGGCTGTCCTGGAACTCACTCTGTAGACCAGATTGGCCTCAAACTCACAGAGATCTGCCTGCCTCTGCCTCCTGAGTGATGAGATTAAAGACATGTGCCACCAACACCCAGCAGCATGTCATTTTTTTATAATGACTCACTGAGTGTAATTAGGGTGTTTACATGAGAATAGGTTTGGAGTGATTTACTGGATATGGACTATAGAGTTTAAGAGCACTATCTGCTCTTGCTGAGGACCTGGGACCTTTTCAGCGTCTACATGGTGGCTCACAACTGACTTGTACTCCAGTTCCAGGGAAACTGACACCCTCTGCTGGCCTCTGCAGGCATAAAGGCATGCAAGTGGTGCACAGATGAAAATGTGTGGACAAAACACATTACATGCTACACGTTAAAACACACCAACAACAGAGATTTCCCCTCAGCAGCCATTAACTGTCAGCTGCTCCTCAGAGAGAGATGGTGCGTTATGAACCCCTCCCCAACCCAAGTGACAATGTTGACAGGCTCCGCCTTGTGTAGCTCAGCACAGCTGCTGTCCATTCATGAGTACAGTGGCCAGGCCTCGTGCAGAGGACAGTGTCACACAGCATTATTCCTGTCCTCCAGGTTACGTCTCTCCATTCCGTATTCCAAGATGTTCCCTTTGCCTTGGGAGTGATGGGGACTTAGATTTTTGTTAGGTTTTGAAAGGTAATCTTACTGGGTTAAAATTGTTCTTGGCTGTAGTGTAGAGATCTAGAGTTTTCCTAGCTAAGGGCTTAGGTTACCAGATTATGTACTGTGTGAATTGAGAGGTGTTTACAGTGTTGGGGATCAAGTTTAAGCTTTGTTACAAGAATTTTTTTCTCTTTCTTGAGACAATGAGAAAGGTTTTTAGAATTATAAGGTAATTTTTAAAAGATTTATTTTTGTGTATGTGTCTGTGTCTCTCTGTTCGTCTGTATATATGCATGCACGTATGTGTGTTCAGGTGGCCACAGAGGCAGACCTGTCAGATGGTGCTGGGGTTCCAGGCAGCTGTGAGCCTCCTGGCATGAGCGCTGTGCTAGAAAATGAGCTCACAGGTCTTCTGCATGAGCAGTATGCAGTCGGAACTGCTGAGTCGTCTCTAGCCCAAGTTTAGGGTAGTTTTGAGAAGTGATGCAGCCAGCATGTCGCCAGAATCCTTGTGCTCCTCACTTGCACGTTTTTCCTGGCTTTGGCAGGAGGAACCAGGCCCTACACATGAACTGGTCCAGAGTCTCATCTCCACCCATGCCAGTATTGATGCCAAGATGGCTTCAAGCAGAGTGACACTTTTTTCTGATTCCAAACCGCTGGGGTCAGAAGATATAGATAATCAAGGGTAAGTCTACCGTTTTCCTAAGTTATTCATTCATTCATTCATTCATTCATTCATTCATTCATTTATTTATTTATTGGCAGTGTGTGTGTGTGACAGAGAGAGAGAGAGTGAGTGCTTGCGTACAGATTGTTAGAGTTGGTTCTCTGTTTACTGTGTCCGTTCCATAAATCTAACTCAGAAAGTCAGGTTTGGTAACAAGTGCCTTTACTCAGTGACCCATGTTACTGACTCTCTTCTAATTTTTAATTTTAAAAAAATTAAAGTAAGCCAGGCGGTGGTGGCGCACGCCTTTAATCCCAGTACTCGGGAGGCAGAGCCAGGCGGATCTCTGTGAGTTCGAGGCCAGCCTGGGCTACCAAGTGAGTTCCAGGAAAGGCGCAAAGCTACACAGAGAAGCCCTGTCTCGAAAAAACAAAAAAAAAAAAAAAAAAAAATTAAAGTGAAAAGTACATTACCTACCATTCTACCATCATAGTTTTTATTTTGATGGAATTTGACTCCAGGTTTTTTGGTTTACTGTGTATATTCATGTGCTTCTTGACAGTTTTTCACTTATTGTATTTTCTCACAATAAAATAGAAGACTTGTTTTCAACAGAAGTATTCATATTATTGCTCAAGTACTACACAAACTTTTCTACTGATTGCTTTTAGTTTTCTAGGAAAGCTTGGATATTGTTTAGCGACCAAAATTCTAGAGTAGTATGTAGCTGCTTACTCAGGTCTTGTCCAAAGACATGCCTTGTCTCTGAAAGTCTTCCATACATTGCTTTGTCACCATGGTAGATGTCACTAACGTGGCTCAGTTTTCAACCCGGTTTGGGAGCTTGTATGCTTATGTGCCATTGTTGCACATTGATTTTTGTTCTACTCACGCCTCATAATCATTCTGAAAATGATAGATTATGTATAGTATTATTTATTATATAGTGCATTATTGCCTACCGTGATAACTTGAAAAATTAAAGAGTTAATTTAAGGGTCATTATTCCCGGGGCTTGAGAGATTGCTCAGTGGTTAAGAGCACATCCTACTTCTGCAGAGGACTCGGATTTAGTGCCCAGCACTCACATTTATTGCCTTACAAATGCCTGTAACTCCAGTTCTAGGGACTCTGACACCCTCTGACTGCTTTGACCACCTACATGCTCATGGTCCACATAAACTCTGTAGGCACACACATACATACACATAATTAATAACTTTATAATTTAAATATCCTGAGCATTTTCTTTGTCTATGTATTCTTTATATATAATCTTTTTATATAGTCATTGTTTTGTTACTTGTGTTTCTGACCTAGGAACTGTCTTATGGTATATTGCAGTTTTTTTTTTTTATAATTGATGGTCTCATCATTTTATATGTAGCACTACATTGAATAGCTTTGTTTAGTTTTAATTTTATCTCATAACTTTACCAACTCAATAATTCTGTACCACTTAATGGAACCCAGGTCTTCTGTAAGATCAGCGAGTGCTCTGAACTGCTGAGGCATTTCCTCAGCCTGTGTCACCATACTCTACAAACTCAGCAGCGCCCCAAAAATGAGTCACCAACCCACAGAGCACTGTTCAGAGCTCTGGCCAGCTGGCATTCTTTAACCAAGAGCTTTTCCTTCCCGCTTGCTTTCTGGACTTTGGTTTTATTTTGTGTGTTACCATCCCATTACTGTTTTCTCTGATGCCTGCATGGTCCCAGCTGTGACCCTCAGTGTCGAGTCTCATGTCTTCTAGGCACATCCCATTAATCTGTAAGCATGGGTACAGTATTTTCTGACACAATAGGTGACCCAGGCTTACATTGTCCTGTGGACCTGGAGTCAGTTTTTAAAGATTTACTCAATACTAGCTTCCCTTTTGACTAGTTTTCCTAAAATAGAAGTTGCTTTGTTTGTTTCTTTTTTTTTTTTTTTTTTTTTTGGTTTTTCAAGACAGGGTTTCTCTGTGTAGCTTTGGAGCCTGTCCTGGAACTCACTCTGTAGACCAAGCTGGCCTTGAACTCATAGAGATCCGCCTGCCTCTGCCTCCTGAGCGCTGGGATTAAAGGCGTGCGCCACCACCGCCCGGCGCTTTGTTTGTTTCTAACAAGAGTCTCCTTGTTCTGTTAGTGCCTTGCAAGCGTGTCATTAGGCAGCTGTGTGAGTTTGCTTCTTAGTTACTTGTCATTTTTTGTGCTGTCATTTTGGGAGTATGATAGTGCTGTTTCTTTAGTAATACTAGGTGAACACAGGGCTCTGCACGGGCTGGGACAGAGTCTACCAGCAACTCCACCCCACAGAAATCAGTTTCTGTTGGGGGACAGGGTCTCACTAAGTTATAAGTTGCCCTTGTAAACTTACCTTCCTGGGAGCTCAGACTGGCTAGAACCTTAACCCCTACTGCCTCAGCCTCCCATTTCTCGGCATAGTGGTTGACATTTCTAGACTAGCTAACTGCTGTACAGTTTGAGTTCGTTTTTATTTGTTTGAAATACAGGCTGTGGATGCCGAAAGAGGAAAAGCAGCTGGATGTGAAGACTGGTCGAGTGCGTCGGAAAGCCGTTTTTGGAGACACAGAAGATGAGTCTGGAGATGAAGACAGTGAAGATGATGAAGAAATGTCTGAAGGTGACAGAACAGAAAGTGGCTCCAGTGATGAGGAAGAGGAAGAGGAAGAGGAAGGTGCTAAAGCCACCAGCTGTAAATACGTGTCGGGCAGGGGAAGCAAGCGACCAAAACTTGCGGAGCAGGAAGAAGACAGTGAGGCAGACCTGCCAGCGTTTGCTGATAGCGACGACGATCTTGAGAGGAGCCCTGGGGAAGAGGAGGCGGCAGAGGAAGCAGACGAAAGCAGCGAAGATGGCGGCGACTCTGCCGCAGGAGACAGAGACATCGGGGACTCCAAGTCTGCTGGAGGAGAGAGTGGGGCAAGGTTGTCAGCAGCTCGTGAGTGGAGGGACCGTCTGGATGCAGAGAAGCCTTCCCCAGTGAGAAAAGCGGCCCTCACCACTTCTGATTCTGGCCATTGTACAGCCGAAGAGGCATTCCCATCTGAAGAGGAGTCTGGAGACTCGGAGCTCAGTTCGGATGAAGACTCGGAGCACAAAGGGCTTGTCAGGGGAAAGCTTGCAAGTCCTCAGGGGGGCAGTGGACAGAAACTCGAGTCAGAGAACATGGTTGATGAGACCAGTGACATTGAAATTTTACTCAAAGAGGAAGAAGAGCACAAGGAAGAGAATAGCAGCTCCATAGAAACGTCAGGTAAATACTCCAGAAATGCCAGGCATCCTCACACTGTTGGTATCAATAGGATGTTTACATTTTCGAGTCTGCTCTTTGGGTTTGTTAACTACTTAAACATGTCATGAGCACGTTTTAGGGTGGGTGAACTTTGGAGTTGGAGGCAGAGGCCAGTGAGCAGGTGTAACTGGGTGTTGGTCTTTCAGGTGCCCTCAAGTGGAAGGAAGACCTTTCCAGGAAGGCAGCAGAGGCCTTTCTGAGGCAGCAACCAGCAGCTCCAAATCTTCGAAAGCTGATTTACGGGACAGGTAAAGAGCTCAGTTCAGAGCTCAAAATGTTTTATGTTCTTAGATTGTTCTCTGAAAAGGAAATGAGGTAGACAATAGGATTGGAATTACACTTTTGACATCCATTATTTCTGGCCATCAGCTTTTATATATTTACCAGACATTTTAAAAACAGATTTTAAATTTACTTACTCTGTGTGTGTGTGTGTGTGTGTGTGTGTGTGTGTGCGCGCGCGCGCGCACATTTATGGTGTGGGAGGGTACTGATGCCGAGGATACGTGTGGAGGTTACAGGACAAATGTGTGGAGTTGGTTCTCTCCACCCTTTTATGGGTTTCCAGGTTCCAACTCAGGCCACCAGGCTTGCATGCCAAGCATCCTCACCTGCTGAGCCTTTTGCTGGCCATGGCAGATGTTTATAATCATGTCATAGGGACCATAAATTGGTCTTATAATATATTGTTCAGTTGGCTTGAAAGTTTTAATGAGAATATTGTCCATTGTATCATTTTATAAAGTCCTTCATGGAATTTGTTTTGTTTTGTTAAATTTAATGTTAAGAACATATTTTTGCCTATGAAAGTCACCCCCCCTTCTGTGTAAGAATGAGAGCCCTGTGTTCTCTTTGCCCATGTTCACTAATTTTTATAGTTTGTTAAACTTGTTAATCAGTTCTTTTTAGGAAAAAAAAAAGCAGAAATAAGTTGCCCCATGAGAGGAAACTGGAGAGTGATCTGTACTGCTCTTCATTTAGATTTATTTTACCTCAGACACTTACTGACAGAAGTTCTAAGGGAGCCTCCCTTCCCCAGCCTCCAGTACTCACTCCTCAGTGGTCTCTGGGACAAGTCTTCCAGACACATTAAGTGATAGCTTTTTGGCCTTTTGGCTCTTTGTGGGTGAGTGGCCCAGGGACACAACATGTCTATAATGAACGGGGACCACAGTTCCTTAAATTCTAAGATGTGTGGTTTAACTAGTTCAGGGCAGGGAGTCCTCTAAGATTGAAGTTTTTATCTTCACCTTTCTTTTATGGTGGTCTCTTTAGTGACAGAGGATAATGAAGACGAAGATGGAGACACCCTAGAAGAGCTTGGAGGGCTGTTCCGTGTCAGCCAGCCGGACAGAGGGTGTAAGCACAAGGCTGACTCTCTAGACTGCTCTAGATTTCTTGTGGAGGCGCCTCATGATTGGGATTTAGAGGAGGTAATGCTGAGTGGTCTGTGTGCTTTGGAAAGTCTTGGGGCTGGAAGTATATCATTGGCAGAGTGCTTACCTAGCATCTGGACACACAGTCCCTACCACCCCTCACCTCCCTCACACACACATTGAAATGCAGTGAAATGATTAAAGACTTACTCTAGAAGAACATTTGCTGACTTCAGGACTGCATATTTGTCACTGGCTTCTTGGTTCTCTAACAGATCATTTCCCCATGTCAGTGTTTCCGGCGTACAAGCAGTAACAGGTTCTGAGTTTAACCAGACTCCGTCTGTCCTTGTAGTGTGGTGAGATGGAAAGGAATGTTCAGCTGCTGGTGTGAAAGCATGCTGCCTTTTTCTTTTTAAAGCTCAGGCTTGCTTAGGCTCTCTGGGATCCTCTTTGGTTCCATATGTATCTTAAGATTTTACTTCTGTTTCTGGGAAAAATGTTGTGGGTATTTTCATTGGGATTTCATTGAATCTGTAAGTAGTCTTCCATAGGATGATCATTTTCACAGTATTCTACCAATCACGAACACTTCATGAACACGTGATGTCTTTTCCCTTTCTAGTCTCTTTCTTCAGAGAGTTGAAGTTTTCGTTGGAGAGGTTTTTTGTCTCCTTGGTTTGGTTTATTCCAAGATACTTTGTCGTCTTCGGTTCTGTGGTTAGTGGGAGTGTGACCATGTCTTTGTCCGTGTGTTTGCTGTTGTGTATAGGAAAACTACCGATTTTTGGAAGTCGATTTTTTTATTCTGCCACTTTGCTGAAATTGTTGATTGTTTCTAGAAGTTTTCTGTTGGAATTTTTAGGATCTCATGCCATTTGCAAATAAGGATCTTTTGACTTCTCTTCCTGTTTGAATCCCTTTCACTTTGTCCTCTTGCCTTACTGCTCCGGCTAGTGCGTCAGGCACAGTACTGAAAAGGAGTGGGGACAGTGGACAGTGATAGGTTTCCACCGAGGCCAGACCACACGAGATGAAAAACAGATAAATACAGATTTGTTGGGCGGTCTCAAAGAACAGGGCCAGAGAACTCGTGCCTGGACTAAGGCAGGGAGGTTTTATAGACCTTAATTGAGGGATGATGATGTGCCAGCCAGGAGCTCGGACTGTGCCCAAGTATGGTCAAAAGCTAAGCCCCTGGGTGGGCACTTGGGTGGGCCGGTCATGTCAGAGAGGCAGACTGCATCTGGGCTTTTGGTGCCATTCCTTTGTTCAGAGTTTTTTTAGTGCAGGTGAGGTTGGGGGAAGGAAGTAGGGCAGTTGGGGTTTCCCCAGCTTATACAGGGGTGAGCAGGGTTCCAGCCAAATAGGGAGCTCTCTCATTCCTGATTTTCACGGAATTGCTTCAAGTTTTTCTCTGTTTAGGATAGTGTTGGCTGTGGATTTGTCTTCTATAGCCTTTATTATGTTGAGATGTGTTCCTCTAGTTCCACTCTCTTTAGGACTTTTATCATGAAAGCGGGTTAGATTTGTTAGAGGCCTTTTCTGCATCTCTTGAGATGAACATGTGAGTTTTGTCTTTAAGTCCATTTCTATGATTTTACTTACTGACTTAGGAACCATACTGCATTTCTGGGATAAAGCCAACTTACTTGATCATGGTGGATGATCTTCCTACATGCCTTTATTTAGTTTACTAGTATTTTATTGAGGATGTTTGGCAACTATGTTCACCATGGATATTGGTCTGTAGTTTTATTGTCTTTGCTTGTTTTTCTTTGTTTGTTTTTTGTTTTGTTTTTTTTGAAACAGAGTTTCTCTGTGTAGCATCTCTGGTTGTCCTAGATCTCGCTCTGTAGACCAGGCTGGCTTCGAACTCAGAGATCTCTCCCTGCCCTTGCTTCCCACATGCTGGGGTTAAAGGCGTGCACCACCACCATCTGGCATTTGCCTTGTTTTGATACTAGAGTGATACTGGCTTCTTAGAATGAATTTGGGAGTGATCCTTCTGTTTCTGTCTTTGAAGAATTTAAGATCGCTAAGTAAGGATTGGTTATAGTTTTTCTCTGAAACTAGTAGAATTTTGCTGTGAATCCATCTGGGCCTGGACTTTTTCAGTCAGCGGGTGCTTTATTACCCCTCTGTCTCCTTATTTGGTGTGGGTCTGTTTAAGTTGTTTGCCTCCTCTTGGTTGAACTTTGGTCCTTTGGATGAATCAAGAAAGTTGTCGATTTCTTTCTGGTTTTCCAACAACAGAGTACAGGTTTTTAAAGTATCCCCTTAAAACTATTATGAACTTCTTTGTTGTCTGTGGTAATGTTTCACTGCCTATCTCTAATTTTATTAATTTGGGTCTCCCTTTTCTTCCCTTTGGTTAGTTGGGCCAAGAATCTGTTTGTTGTCCTTGCTTTTCTCAGAGAACCAGCCTTAGAGTCATTGATTGATTGTATTGGTTTTTGTTTGTTTTTTGCTCCATTTTATTAATTTAATTTTTATTATTTCTTGCCTGCCATCTGCTGGGCTTGGATTTGGTTTGTTTTTTTTTTCAAATTCCTGAGTTGCATCTTCAAGTCATTTATTTGTGCTCTTTCTGACCTAACGGGCACGTAGGGCTCCAGCTTCCCTCTTAGAACTCCTGTTAATGTGTCCCAGAGGTTTTGTTGTCTTGTTTTTCATTTTCATTTAGTTCTGTGAATATTTTTGTTTCTTTCTTGATTTCTTCTTTGACCTGTCCATCAGTCAGTTATGAGTTGTTTAATCTCCATGAATTTAGAGTTTATACATTTACTGGAGTTTTGTTTGCTCTCAGCTTTTTGTTGTTGTTGTTGTTGTTTGAGACAGGGTTTCTCTGTGTAGCTTTGGAGCCTGTCCTGGATCTCACTCTGTAGACCAGGCTGGCCTCGAACTCACAGAGATCCACCTGGCTCTGCCTTCCGAGTGCTGGGATTAAAGGGGTGCGCCACTGCCACCAGGCTGCTATAGACTTTTATTGTGTAATATTGGATAGGATACATGGGATTACTTCAGATTTTATGTATTTGTTAAGGTTTTTTTGGTGACCAAGCATCTGTTTTAGAAAAGCTTCCATGAGCTGCTGAGTAGAATGTATGTTTGGCATTTGGGTGGATCATCTGTTAGATCTGTTTTTGATGTCATGTAATTCTGAGGTTTCTCTTATTTTTTGTCTATTAGAGAAAATGGTGTGTTGAAATCACCTACAATTGTTGGGTTTGTGTAAATATGTGTCATTAGTGTGTTTTCTTTTTTTATTTCTTTTAAGACTTAAAAAATTTATGTGTATGGCTGTTTTGTCTGCACATGTGTCTGTGTGTGTATGCCTGGTGTCCATGGAGTTGAGTGGACATCAGATCCCGTGGGACTGGAGTTACAGACAGTTGCAAGGCAAAGTGTGGGTGTTGGGAATCACCTAGATCCTCTGGAAGAGTGCTCATAACTGCAGCTGCTGAGCCAAATTGGGCGCAGCAGAGTTTGGTGCATGTGATATTTTCCTGATTAATTGATCCCTTGATTAGAATGAAGTGCTCTTCTTTGTCTCTTCTGATTAGTTTTAGTTTGAATTCTATTTTGTCAGCTATTAGGATGGCCATGCCTGCTTGCTTCTTGGAATTTTCTTGGAATACTTTTTTCCATCCTTTCACTTTAAGGTGGATCTTTAAAGCTGAGTTTCTTAGAGTTGATAGATGAATGGATTTTGCTTCTCTCTCTATCTCCCCCCCCTTTTAAAACTTTTTATTTTATGTGCATTGATGTTTTGCCTGCATGTATGTCTGGGTGAGGGTGTCAGATCCCCTGGAACTAGAGGTAGAGACAGCTGTGAGCTGCCATGTGGGTGCTGAGAATTGAACCTGGGTCCTCTAGAGAAGTAGCCAGTGTTCTTAACTGCTGAGCCATCTCTCCAGTCCTCTGGGTTTTGTTTCTTTTTTTTTTTTTTTTTTTTTTTTTTGTTTTGTTTTGTTTTTTTTTGTTTTTCAAGACAGGGTTTCTCTGTAGTTTTGCGCCTTTCCTGGAACTCACTTTGTAGACCAGGCTGGCCTCGAACTCACAGAGATCCTCCTGCCTCTGCCTCCCGAGTGCTGGGATTAAAGGCGTGCGCCACCACCGCCCGGTTGGGTTTTGTTTCTTAATCCTTTCAGCTAGCCTGTCTTTTGGCTGGAGAGTTGAGGAAATGAATAGTTATTATTGAAAAGGTGTGTCGAGCTTGCAGTCTGTTTGTTACTTTTTCCTGCTAATTTGTGTTCTTTGTACTTTACATTTCATTAAAGTTTAGCTTTGTTTTCTTCCTAAGTCTCTTGGCTGTGTTTGTTGCTCTCTTCAGTTCTGAATATTGCTTCCAGGATTCTGTTGAGCATTTTGTTGTTGTTGTTGGAAATGAAATTTTTTAGGCTGTTTGGATCATGGAAAATTTTTTTCTTTTTGCTTAACTATGGCAGATAGTTAAGTACAGTACTGAGTACAGTAGTCTTGGTTGGTAGTTGTGGCGTTAGAACTTAGAGTGCGTTGCTCCAGAAGTGAGAAGTCATTTCTGGGAAATCAGGTATTACTCTGAAGGATTTCCCTTTATATGTGACTTGTATTTTTCCTCTTGCAGCTTCCAGTGTTATTTGTTTTGTATCCTTAGTGTTTTGACCATAATGTGCTGTGGGGTGTTTCTTTTCTGGCCTTGTTTGGTGTTCTGTGTGCTTCCTGTATCTGTATGGGTGTGTCTTTCCTTAATTTGGGGGAAAGCATGCTTCTGTGATCTTGTTGAAGATCTGGTCTATGCCATTGATCTGGGGTTCTTCTCCCTCAGTTATGCCTGTAATGAGAAGATTTGGTCTTTTGATGGTGTCCTGCATTTCCGAATCTTCCTTTCCTGTGCTTTAACATTATTTCATAGTCCTTGCTTCAGTCCAGATCCTCTGCTCTATCTTCCAGTCCTGGTGTCCTGTCTTCTACTTGACTCGTTCATTCTGCTGGCCAGGCTTTCCTGCAGGTTTCTAATCAGGATGTTGGCGTTTTCTCATTCCATCTTCACTTCAGTTTGTTTCAAATTGTGAATTATCTTCATCATTTCATTCAGCCATGTATTTGTATTTTCTTAGACATCTCTCAGGTGTTTATCATTACCCTCGTGGAGTTTAGTGAAGTATTCGTTTATGCCTTCGTTAAATTCCTTGAATTCTTTGATAAAGTTGATGATTGTGCTTTTAAATTGTGTGCTGTGGTTCACCTAGGTAGTTCTCAATAGAGAACACTTCTGTAAGACTGCTGGGTTTGATGGGAAACATGCTGTCATGGCCATTCATGTTATTTTTTGTTTTGGTGATTTGACCTGGGCATGTGGACTTCTTTTTTTGGCTTTATGTGTGAAAGTGAAAACCTGGCCTTCCTTGGATTGGGCCAGTGCAGATGTATGACCTGAGGTAGGTCATATAAAATTAGTGGGTGAGCTGTATAATTGGCCCAGGGAAATATGGCTCCCAACCCCTGGTCTATCTAGGCCTGTGGGTGCAGAGATGGCAGTGGGCGTATAGGAAAGGGGAGATGGCTCTTGAAGAAAGCAGGTTCACAGGCCATGGATCTGGAGCTAGACTTGTGGGTGTGGAGGTGGTAACTGTTTGGGGAAGGAATGCAGGGGATGGAAGAGGGAGGAGGTGACTTACCCAGCAGTGGTGTCTCAGGAACCAAGAGGGTTTGCGGACCTTGGTCTAGAAGTAGCCTTGGTGTTTGCAGATAGTGACAGGAGAGCAAGGGTTTCTATTGCTGGGGTAAAACACCATAACCAAAAGCAACTTGGGGAAGAAGGATTTGTTTCCCCTTAGAGTTCACAGTCTGTCATCCAGACAGGTCAGGACAAGAACTCAAAAGGAACATGTTAGCCGGAACTGGTGCCCCTCATGGCTTGCTCCGCATTCTTTCTTATAGTACCCAGGACCCCCAGCCCAGGGGTGGCACTGCCGCAGTGAGTTGGACTATCCCGTATCAATTATCAGTCCAGAAAATGCAGCACTGTCTTGTCCATAGACTGATCCAGTAGGGGCATTTTCTCCACTGATGCTCCCACTTCCCAAATGATTTGTGTTAAGTTGACACAGAACTAGTCTGCACAGATGGCAAAGGGAAGAATAGACTTATCAGGTGGAGGTGGTTCAGGGGAAGAGGGTTCAAGTCTAGAACTAGGCTTGTTCTTTGGTAGATGGCTGCTGGTTGGCAGAAGGGCGGGGAAGAGGAAGAAGTCATTTTCTCTCAAAAGGTGGCTAGGGAACCTAATATAATATTCTTTGATAATTTCATATACACACACACACACACACACACACACACACACACACGTATTTTGATCATATCCACCCTGTACTGCCTCTCCTCAATTTCATGTTCTTTATTTATCTATTTATATCTTTAACTACATTCTTTCTAGAGAATTAGCCCTTGGTTGAATTGAAGGAGTAAAATTAGAAAAATCATGTAATTGCTCATCTCATTTATTTCAGTGTTATATACAAAACTATCAGAACAGTATGTTAGTTACTGTTGATAAGATTAGAGAAAACAAGTTTTTCCCTCATATATTCTCTATTCTTTTAAAAAAACAGCCGTGCAATTTTCATTCCCATCAGCAATATTTGTGGGCTGTAGTTTATTTACATCTTCAAGAGTTATTTGTATCTATCTTTTTTTAGCCACACTAGAAGGTGTGAAATGTGTCATATCATGATACTGATTTGCATTTCTCAGATAGCTAATGTTGTCAAGCATCATTTCAGGTGATTGCTATCTATTTGTTATATACCTGTTCATAATGTTTGCCTATTTTTAAAATGTAGGCATTTAGTTATAAGAGTTGTTTATTGTGAGAACATATCCCTTATCAGTTTATATATCTGGGGATGTGTCCCTTCTATATACTTGCAGATATTTTTCTGCTATTCTGTAAGAATTATCTCACACACTTATGTGGAATGAATGTATCCACAGAAGTGTGTATTTGCTTTCTTATTAATATTTTTGAGACAGTCTGTATTCTAAGTTGGCTCACTGTGTGATCTAGACTGAGCTTGAATATTCTTCTGTCTCAACAACCCTGGTACTAGGATTATAGGTATGTACTAGGATTACAGGGCCAGTTTGAAGTGTCCTGAAAAATATTTAGAGGCAAATTGTTGTCTGTCAGCATTTCTGAAAAATAGTTGTTTTGTATAAATGTACTAAGTGCTGGTTTTTCTGTGTAAGGTTATGAACAGTATCAGAGATTGCTTTGTGACGGGGAAGTGGGAAGACGAGAAAGATGCAGCCAAGATCTTAGCAGAAGACGGTAAGTCAGGGCTGCGCATTTTCTTTGTGGGTTTGAGTGTGCACATGCCTCTGGAAGCAAGGGGCAGACAGCCTTAGCTGTTATTTCTCGGGTGGTATGGTGTTCCTTCCTCAGACACTGCCTGCCCATTTATTTATTATGTTTAGGCCTGGTCTCTTATTTTCCTGAACTCACTAAGTATGGTAGGCAGGTTGCCCAGCAAGATCTAGGGATTGGCCTCCCTAACCAGGATTGCAAATCACTTGGCTTTTGTTTATGTGAATTCTAGGGAGAGAACTGAGGTCTTTGAGCTTGCAAGTACGAGCACTTTACCAACAGCCATTGTCCTACCCTTCATATTTTCTTTAATGTCTTACAGTCAAGTTGGAAATTAGTCAGTTGTGAATGCTTTGGGGAATTGACAAATAATATCCTGTTTTCTGCCCTTAGCTGACCTATATGCTATTTGGGGACTTTAAAGGAAAGTGAGAAACCTCCTATAGTTACAGATAGATATTGTGTGTGGGTTGTCCTCAGCATGTTCATTTTAGTGAAAGTAACAGTCATGGGAAATTTAAAGCAAAAGGTACATATCCATAGCAGAGAATTTTACAAAGTACATATAATACTAAAATTCTGCTACACGTAAAAGACCCGTTAACATTTTGAGATCTTTCCTCCTACTCATTTAAAACTGTGTGTATAAAGTTTACTTGTTGTCTTAGGGTGTCCCCTGCTGTGACAAAAACACCATGACCAAAAACAACTTGGGGAGGAAAGGGTTTATTTCAGCTTACAGGGACATCAGAGAGGAACTCAAGTCAGAAACCTGGAGACAGGATCTGATGTCAAGTTTTGTATTTTGTCTATGTTAGAGAGCACTGTTATATAGAAAATTCAAGGACATCCTTCCTAGGCAACTGAATAAGACCCTGCCTCATAATGGAAAAGGCTTGGAATGCATCTCAGTAATAGAGTGCTCATCTAACATGTATAGAGGCCTTGATGAGTTCATTCCCGGTAACACACACACACACACACACACACACACACACACACACACACACACACACACACACACACGTGCACAGTATGATTTTGAGATAACTCTTTGGTCACCTTTTGCAGTTCACAACTACCAAATTTTTTTCTGAAGGTCATTTACTTTATGTGCCCATAAGGAGGGACACTTAGCATCTACTTTATTGCTTTCATTCAGCATTGATTACTATAGATAAACCTTGGGTAGGGTTTAGGTTTCATTTCTCAACTTTTATAAATGTATTTTTAGTTTTCCTGGTATAAATATTTTGCATGCATGTATGTATGTGCACCACTTGTGTGCCGGGTGCCCCTGAAGGCCAGAAGAGGGTGTCAGGTGTGCTGGACCTAGTGTTAAAGAATACTGTTTGCAGTGTCTGATGATGCTCCCTTTATGCCCCTTGGTAACAGAATAAAGCACCTGTGCGGCTAGCATGTGTGTGGAGGACAGAAGACAGCCTTCAGGAGTCAGAGGGTCCTGGGGCCTGACCTCAGGTCCTCAGGCTTGGCAGCAGGCACCTCTGCTTATGCGCTCTGACACTAACCTGTTATATTTCATGTATTTAGTGTGTAAATTTCTAACACAGTTCTAGGTATATGCTTATATGTTATAGTTTTTGTTATAAACAAGAGCTTCCTATCTGTTATGTGACTATGTCTTAATAACAGTAAATGTCGCCCTCCCAAAGGCATTCTTTCTTAACTTGTTTGTTTTAAAGAGAACAGCCTGTAACTGAACCCAGAGCTCTAACGGTGAACAAGTAGATGAAATAATGACCTCTTCCTATGAGCTCAGCATTGTTTTGAGCCCTAATTTTGTTTCAGGCTCTATACATACATAGTCTCACTTTCCCCAAGGACAGGAACGATGTGCTGTGTTGGCAGACACTTCACATGGGCTGTCATTAGGCTGTGTCTTTTCACTTACTCTTTGAGATGTTGTTTTGGAGTTGACCTTCAAGGCTGCACTTGGGTCTCTCATACAGTGTCCAGTACTTAGACGTGAAAGATGGTCATCAGGAAGTGAGGTTCCAAGTCCTGGGTCCGTTTACTTTTCCTAAGCAAATAGTGAACTGCTTTTGTTTTTAAGCCGTGTAAGTTTAGGACTCCTGGCACGTAGAGTGATGGAAACAGAGATGAAGTTTGGAAGGCAGAGCACAGGGTTGACTAGGCTGGCCAGTGCTAGTGTCACAGAACAGACATTTATATGCTCTTTTTCAGAGGAGCTCTATGGTGACTTTGAAGACCTAGAAACGGGGGACGTGCACAAGGGACAACCGGGCCCGGATACTCAGGTATGGCTTTGATGTGACTCTGCCAGCTTGATCCAGTCAGTATGTCCTGAGAGAGATCTGCTTTGGGACATGTGGATCTTGACTTCCCTGTCAGATGGATAGATAGCTTCCTGAAGAGTGGCAACAGTTGATTTGTACAGTTCATGGATGAGACCCACTATCCCTCCCACCCTGCTGTAATCATTTGTCAAGTTCATGCTTTTTATTTGTCTTTCTTTTGCTATCATTTAATGATGGAATTTAAAAGCACCATAAAACGATTCCTTATTCTTCCTGATATACTTTGAACAGTGTCTGGAGCATCTAAGTGGGAGACACTTGTTTCATGCCTGTTGCCACACCCAGCCAGATGAAGAGTGGAGCAGCACCAAAGTCTGTTTGTTCATGATGATCATAAGAAAGAATTTTTAAGCTCAAACACTATATAAAAATCTGCTTTATTTATTTGAAGAACGTTCTCCATAAACTTCTCAATACTTTTTATTCTGGAAACTTAAGATTGAAGACACAGAAGAAGACGTTAAGGAAGAAACTGACCCAACTGAGGAGGAAAGTGCTAAGAAAAAGCATCTGAGTAAGAAGAGAAAGTTGAAGGAGCTGTTTGACGCGGAGTATGACGGAGGAGAAAGCACGTATTTCGATGATCTTAAGGGTGAGATGCAGAGGCAAGCGCAGGTAAGAAAGCAGTCCTTGGCTGCTGCGCAGGCAGCGCCACCTGCTGGCCGGCTCCCCGTTTTCCTGGGAGCCCCGGGTGGAAATTGTGTGATGGGATTCTTCAGACCGCGATTGCCTTTTCTTCTCACCGGGAGGCGTCAGCACCACTCTTGTTCCGGGCTCCACATGCTCAGGAAGCAGTAATGACTGAGACATGGTCTCTGCCTCTGAGGAACTCATGCAGTTGAGGCAGGCTGGAAGGACAGAAAGTAAGGGAATGTAGGAAGAGAAGGACTCAGCCTGAGATCCAGTTTACATTTTGTACTGAGAGTCAAGAAACATCAACACAATTGAAAAAAATCAAAACTACCTAGAATGTTTGTGGCCTTGAGTTTAAATGTGTTAGCACTTCCCTCTGAACACATTCTAAATTCTAAATCTAAACAGTGCATCACATGGAAACAACCTTAAAATTTCATTTACACAGGAAAATTGTTTCCCTGTATGTGTGCACGTGAGCGAATGCATCTGTGTGCATGTACACAGCTGAGAGAACATGTGTCCTGCTCTGTCACTCTCTGCCATGGTCCTTTGAGACAGACCCTGCCAAAGGTCTGCTGGTGCCCCCAAAGCCCCATCAGTCCCCCATCTCCACCCTCCACAGAGCTGAGGTTGTAGACGTGCACAGCCATGCCTGACTTTTTATGTGTGTTTTTATATGCACAGCAAGCTCTCTTACTCACTGAAGAAGGTGCTGTAAGATAGTAGGTGAACCAGCTTGTGTAGAGTCTCACTTAAATAGACTTTACATGCTTTGAAAAACTGTGCCTTACATAGATGCAGAAAGTTGTCTACCATTGTAAGGACAGCTAAGTAGGACTCACTCTCAAGACGTCCACACCCTGACTTGTAGCTGCACACTGCCTGTCTCTCTTACTAGCTAAATCACTCTAACTTAACCTCTCTCTAATCGCCCTGAAGTTCTAATGGGTCTGGCTTACCTAAGTGGAGGTCCCTGAAAAGGAAAGGCTCCTTCAAGCCATAAGGTAGCTTGGGAAGTTAGCACAGAGGGAAACAGGAGTGTGTGTGAGTGGAGATGAGGCACAGGGCTAAGAGTGGCCAAGAGATAAATTTCCAAGGGCAGGTGTGCCAGAAGCCAGCAGTCTATACTTCAGATCTTCCTGCTCTAGAAGCTCTTCTTGGGGCGGGCCACCACTGGGTACCGCATGGAAGGTCTGTGGTGACTGACAAGCGCTTTCATGCAGTGTTCGGTGAGAAAAGCTCTGGAGACTGATTCGTAGGAAACGGGGAGTTTTGTTCAAAGTGAAGCAGGTCTATTTCTGTAGGACAGTAGTTGGTAAAGAAAGAGGACTCAAAAGGTTTTGAAAAGATGAGAAAAATAATAGAAGGAAGATCTTTTGGGAGCCAGAAGTTTGGCATTGAATAGAGGTGTGGTTAAATAATCTGTAGATGCCTCTGTGCTGCCCAGCATCCCAGCCACCTGCCACATACAAGTGCAATGGAAGAACTGTATTTAAATGTTATTTAATCTTAATTTATGGCCTAGCATGGTGGTGAGCAAGTGTAATTCATGTACTCAGAAGACTGAGGCAGGAGGATTCGAAGCTCAAGGCTAGCCTGGACTACATAGATCTTGCTTCCAAAAAATGTTTTTACCAAGTAGTTGCTTGTCCTTAACCTACAGTGCAGAGCTATAGTGAAAGCTTGTGTGGGTACAAACACCAGAGCACAGCTGACTAGAAGCAGGAATAGCCATCAGCTGAGAATGAGGGTAAGGCAGGGTAGACAGGCTGTTCTAAGACCAAGGATGAGCAGAGTTATAGAAAATGATTGACAGGGAGTTAGAGTATAGCCCAGGCACCTTCGCTAAGCAACATCCTTTTGGAGTTAGTGGCTGTGACTTGGAGCAACAGAAAACACTGTTGGTACATGTCTTGAAGTACAGAGGTGAAGAGGACATATATAACTTTTTATTACAATAAAACCGAAATTGTTGTGTCCATGGTTCCTTTGTATGTTTTAAAATTTAATCTTAATGTTGATTAAGAATACTGTGGGTTTATTGTGCTTCTGTTTTTGTCCCCTTATCTCATCTGTAGCTTAACCATGCTGAATTTGAAGATCAAGAAGATGAAACCAGAGTTCAGTATGAGGGTTTTCGACCTGGAATGTATGTCCGAATTGAGATTGAAAACATCCCCTGTGAATTCGTGCAGAACTTTGACCCACACTACCCGATTATTCTGGGTGGTTTGGGCAATAGTGAGGGCACTGTGGGATATGTACAGGTAGGTACCCTTTGCTGCATGCTTGGAGACAGGTTATTTGCATGCGCAGTGTTTTATTGACTGTTTATATCTCCAGATGCGCCTCAAGAAACATCGTTGGTATAAGAAAATCCTCAAGTCTCGAGACCCAATTATTTTTTCTGTAGGATGGAGGAGGTTTCAGACAATCCCACTGTACTATATTGAAGACCACAATGGCAGACAGAGGCTTCTAAAGTACACCCCACAGCACATGCATTGTGGAGCAACTTTTTGGGGTAAATTGTGATTATAATAATTATAGGATCAGTTTATACCATTTAGGCTTATGTCATTATAGTTCTTTTCCTGTCATGAAACCCCAACTTGAAAGATTTGTTTCTTTGAGAAAAGGGGTTAGAGTAAAATATGTGGTTTACTATTTTTTCTTTTCTGTTTTCTTTAAGGTCCTATCACCCCACAAGGAACTGGATTTTTGGCGATACAGTCTGTCAGTGGTGTGATGGTAAATATCACAGATGCATTCTTTATCGATTATTCAAATGAACTAGAGACTGAACTGAATTCGTGAAGCTAAGTTGAAAATCAGCTACCTTTAATATGTAGTACTTAGTTTCTCCTTGCTTTGTGTCTTCCTGCAGCCTTTGCCCTCCTTCCCACCCCCTCTCCCTCCCTCCCTCCTTCCTCCATTCCTTCCTTCTTTTCCTGTTCTTTCTAACAAGGTCTTGATGTATAACCCAGGCTGGCCTAGAACTCACAATCTTCCTGTCTCAGCCATCTGAATGTCAGAATTCCTGGTGTGAATTGCCCTGCCTGGCTTTCCTAAGTAGAGTGTGGGAGTCTTTTTTTTTGTTTTGTTTTTTTGAGACAGGGTTTCTCTGTGTAGTTTTGGTGCCTGTCCTGGATCTCACTCTGTAGACCAGGCTGGCCTCTGTAGACCAGGCTGGCCTTGAACTCACAGAGATCGCCTGGCTCTGCCTCCTGAGTGCTGGGATTAAAGGCATGCTCCACCGCCACCCGGCTTGAGTGTGGGAGTCATAAGAGAGGGAGAATTATAATGACAATGATGGCATTGTATATTTTTATGCCTTGTTTGGACTTATTTAAAAAGTATTTAAGCAGTGTTCACTGGATACTAATTATTGTAGTACATTTTGTAGACAAAGTATGTTCACAATAGTCTTTGACTGGACAGAGCAAGCTTCATTTATTGGCTATACATAACATATGAGAAAAAAGAAAAATAGCCCACCTAGAGGTCCAAAATCTCATTTTTAAATGTTGCAACTGAATTTGCCTTTTCCTTTGGTTCTGAATTGATCGTTGTGAAACTGTTACCATTAAATCACTCTCAGAAGAATGTTGAAGTCAGCTGCAGTGGCTTAACATACTTAAAATCTCCCAGGAGGCCGCCTTCTAAGGCATCCTCTGCCACATAGTTGGTGAGCCTGGGCTACATTAAACCATTTCTCAAGCAAACAAAATTATAAGTAAGTACCTACTAAGGAAATAAAAGAAATTCTGTCTTTTGTAGCTAACTGTTTAAGTGAATGGAATTTTGGCATTGTATCACAGAGAATTGTAATTTTTCTTTTCCTCTCATTTTTATTTTCAAATTTTTGTGGTTCTTTTTAGCCTGAATTTCGGATTGCTGCCACTGGAGTTGTCCTTGACCTGGATAAATCCATAAAAATTGTGAAGAAATTAAAACTAACTGGTTTTCCTTATAAAATATTCAAGAATACTTCATTTATTAAGGTCTGTATATCCATATATTCATGTTATAAATTATATATTGTTAAAGAAAGAGTAGAATGCTCTTTATTTACCTGAAATATTTAGCACTAGCAGTATTTCCAATGTGGATTTTCTTCTCAGGTTTTGAAATATTTTTATGTTTGTAGTGGGCTGTCTTTGGGATAGAAACTTAGATCTGTGTGTCATATACACATTACCCACAAGCATGAAGGTGTTCCAAGTATGACTTTGTTTTGACTGGGAATCATCAAATGAGGTTAGATAGCAGATTTCCCTGTACTTCTAAAGTACAAGTTTAGAGTTTTTAGAAAAGTATTTGAAATCTTGACCTTTGATATTTTTTGTTCTATTTATATTGATTTGTACTGTATTTAAAGTCAGAGATACTTAGTATCTACAGCTGTGACGCCTACATGAGACTGTTCCAGAGACAGCACAGACTCGTCCACTGGGTTGTATTACTTTAAAACTGTGTTAGTGAGGGGAAAAATCCTAAATTTGTCTGATTGTTGAGTAGAAAGTAGACAAAGCAGTTTGCAACAAACGGCAAGATTTCAGCAGACTACACAGTATTTACAGATGGTAGTTTGAAAGTTTCATTCAGGAAGGAGTCTCTATTAAAGAGAGTAAAGATCATAAGGACAGGCGATGGAGCTCAGTAATAGAGTACTTGTATAAGGAGGGAGGTAGTACTCCGTGATAGAGTGCTTGTAAAGCCTAGAGTTTGGTTCTCAGCACTGCAAAAAAGAGGATGCCAAGGCGGTCTAGGCCAGTTCACACCCATTAATACCTCTTTCCTCTTGTAAAGAGGTTATTTCAGTGAACGTAAAGTTGAGTGGTATACTTCTTGATGTTAGTATTTCACTTTAGTGAATTGCTTTTTGTTTTGTAACCAGTGCTGTAAGTGATGATGTATGTATGTGAGTGTTTTTATTTTGCTGCCTGTAGGGGATGTTTAATTCTGCCTTGGAAGTAGCCAAATTTGAAGGTGCTGTCATTCGAACTGTCAGTGGCATAAGGGGACAGATCAAGAAAGCACTCCGGGCTCCAGAAGGAGCATTCCGGGCCAGCTTTGAAGACAAGTTGCTAATGAGTGGTAAGACTCCCTGTGGTGTGTTGAGGACACTGTGTTACCATTTGTTACTGATTCTCGCTGGTGTTGATTGAAGGAGTCTGCTCTTCAGAAGGTGGGTCAGCTCCAGCCCTGTCCAGTCGGAGTATCCTGTACTCAGCTGATTCACACTGTACCTGCTGGGCTCACACCCGGAGCTCTGCAATAGTTAGCAGTAGTTTAATTGGTTAAGTTCTCTTTCCAATACTGTTCAACCAGGTAGAGATGTTGGGGTGACTTGGGGTGTGCACATGTCTGTGTATTGCTTCAAATGGATACAGACCTTCTTTCGAAACCTCTTCTTCTAGATATTGTTTTCATGCGAACTTGGTATCCTGTCTCCATCCCGGCCTTCTATAACCCTGTAACATCTTTGTTGAAACCAGTGGGTGAGAAAGACACCTGGTCAGGAATGCGGACAACGCATCAGCTGAGGCTTGCCCATGGCATCAAACTAAAGCCAAACAAGGACTCGTTGTACAAGGTACAGGCCTCATGTGTCTGTGTTTCTAGACAGCATCACACAACTGCTTTATTTGCAATATTTTTAGTTTTTGTGGCACTAGAGATCAGACCTAGTGCTTCGCATGTATTAAGCAAGTGCTGTACCTCTGAGCAAACCCACCAACCCTATAATGTCTTATTTATGTGACTTGTATTTTCAAGTGTAAAGTCTGGTGCTGAGTTTGATCTGAACAATTGTATATTTGCTGTTTTGGAGACGGAACAGAAAAATGGTGACAGTGGTTTTCTCAGAATTGGAAATGAAATTAAAACGCTTTGCAAAATCATAATGTCATATTTGAGGATTACTAATGACATTGTTATATGTATGGATTTGGTAAGGTGGTTGATTATATACTGTGGGTGAAGCAGCTGAGCATTTCTGCCATTTCACCCCTCGCTCAAAAGTCCCAAACACAAAACATTTGTGTAAGCTGTGGTTCTTGTGTGTATCATATCTCTTCTGCTCTGGGTATTGTCACACTCATCCTGCATTTCTGCCGTTTTTATATCTTTTGACCTCTGTGCCCCTGTTCTCATCACTCATTTTGTTTTCTTTGGAGAAATGCTTGCTGGGGGCTTTGCCCATTGCTCTAGACAGGTTGTTTTGGAGGAGCTTACAGGAATTGGGCCCAGGCTTCACACATTGACACTCTCATTGTTAAACTGAGCTAGTTCCCGGCTCTGTGTTGCTTGAGTTTTCCTGCCTGGCCCACAGTCAGGACAAATCTCTCTCACCCGCCAGTCCCACAGCCTCTCAGACCCGACCAAGTAAACACAGAGACTTATATTGGTTACAAACTGTATGGCCGTGGCAGGCTTCTTGCTAACTGTTCTTACAGCTTAAATTAATCCATTTCTATTAATCTATACCTTGCCACATGGCTCGTGGCTTACCGGTACTTTACATCTTCCTTGTCCTGATGGCGGCTGGCAGTGTCTCTCTCACTCAGCCTTCCACTTCCCAGCTCTATTCTCCTCCTTGTCCCACCTATACTTCCTGCCTGGCCACGGGCCAATCAGTGATTTATTTATTGACCAATCAGCAACACATTTGACATACAGACCATCCCACAGCACTTCCCCTTTTCTTTTCTTAAAAAGGAAGGTTTTAACCTTTACACATCTCTAAAGTCAGCTTGGTATATTTGGGAATTTGGGCGTAGCTTCTCTTACTACTTCCTGCTGGAGGGGGGCGCTGTATCTTATGGGGACACAAAGAATATTTTAGGGTTATGGAGTAGTCCATGAGGGTGTATCGTCTGAGCCAATTGCCTTGAAACGGTTCTGGATGTTGGATCATCTGGGCCATGGTGTCATCGGAGACCTTTCAGGTGGTCTTGGCTGGTCAAACCTGATGTGTCTTAATCTGGAACAAATCCATAGCCTCTGGCTTTCTGTGGAAACAAAAGCAGAGCCTCGCCGGGCGGTGGTGGCGCACGCCTTTAATCCCAGCACTCGGGAGGCAGAGCCAGGCGAATCTCTGTGAGTTCGAGGCCAGCCTGGTCTTCAAAGTGAGTTCCAGGAAAGGCGCAAAGCTACACAGAGAAACCCTGTCTCGAAAAATCAAAAAAAAACAAAAAACAAAAAACAAAAAAAAAAAAGCAGAGCCTCCTTTCCAAAGCAACATATCCTTACATCCAAATTTTGAAGTCAAGGTACCTTTAAAATATACATTTTGGCATAACTCAACAGCTTTTGTAATCACATGTTTTTCTTTAGTTACGAATATCAAAGAGAACATAATCCAGATTCTCTGTGTGGTAGCCATCTTTGCGTGGCTTATTTTTTTATATTAGCTTGAGCCTATTGCTTTGAACTGCAGCCTTCTAAGCCTGAAACGGCGCTGGCGCTGCTGGCTCCGCCCACTTCAGCTTCCCAACATGGCGGTGATACGTTTTCCGCCAGCTCTGGGAGCCATCAACTCTCAGAAATAGTGGGTCTATGCTTCTATCAAAGCAGCGTGTAGCCCAGAAACCTCTTTTTTTTTTTTTGTATTGTTTTGTACTAGCAAAGGCTAAATCCACCACACAGCTTAATGTGCCACTTGCAGAGACCTCATTCCCGCCATACTGCAGGTCGAGCATGCACGCACGCTAGGAACCCGCCAGTAGCTCAAACCGCCAGGCTGCCGCTAACTTGAAAGAGACAACTAGGAGCTGTTTTTAGCTCCGTTTTAGAATCTTTTTTCTCAGGGTTTAGGTGGAAACTCTTGCCCCACGTTGGGCGCCATTTGTAGCTAGAGTTTTCCTGCCTGGCCCACAGTCAGGACAAATCTCTCTCACCTGCCAGTCCCACAGCCATCAGACCCGACCAAGTAAACACAGAGACTTATATTGGTTACAAACTATATGGCCGTGGCAGGCTTCTTGCTAACTGTTCTTACAGCTTAAATTAATCCATTTCTATTAATCTATACCTTGCCACGTGGCTTGTGGCTTACCAGTACTTTACATCTTTCTTATCCTGATGGCGGCTGGCAGTGTCTCCCTCACCCAGCTTCCTGTTCTCTCAATTCTCCTCTCTGTTAGTCCCGCCTATACTTCCTGCCTGGCCACTGGCCAAATCAGTGATTTATTTATTGACCAATCAGCAACACATTTGGCATACAGACCATCCCACAGCAGCTCTGCTTATTTGTTTCTGTATGATTTGCTTGGGAGCCCCTTTTAAGCTCTGGTTACTAAGCCTTGTGAGGTGGGCAGCTCACCAATACTCTTTTCCTGTTTAGCATTTGCCTTTGCCTTTTGTTGATTGTTCTGTGGGCAGTGCCGAAGCTTTTCACTCTAATGTCATTTCCCTTGGGATTTGGGGGGGTTTTGGTGTGGTATCCAAAAAAACCTAGGCACTTTTCTCCTGGAAAACATTTAGGGTTCAGGTCTAACATTGAGCCATTTTGAGTTGATTTAGCTGTATGATTAAGAGTTTACTTTCGTACTTTTAACAAGACAGTTTTCACATGTTGATGGACAGGGTCATCCTGTGTCCTCTTGCTTGCCCTTGCATGTAGTTAGCTGACCACGTGGGTCTGGAGTCATTTCTGGGCTCTCCTTCCATACTAATGGTCTGTGTTGCGATTTTCATTATTACAGCCTAGTAATTCAAGTTTCTAAAGACTATTTTATTTATTCTTTGGCCATACATTTATATTACATAAATTATATAATATATAATCATGTATGTGAGTATATGCTGTACTTAGAATTTTCTTTGGGCTGCTCCCAGCTCCCAATAAAGACACAGAGACTTATTAACTGAATGCTTGGCCTTATCTTATGCTTGTCCCACTAACTCTAATAACTTAATTTAACCTGTTTCCATTCATCTACGTTTTGCCTCAGGGCTTTTTACCTTTCTTTCATTCTTTGTGACCTTTCCTGCTTCCTCTGTGTCTGGCTGGCTAGTTCCTGGTGTCTTCTTGGTGTAATTTCTCCTGCTTACTCTCCCTGTCTGGAAGTCCCTCCTACACCTCCTCCCTCACTATTGGCCGTTCAGCTTTTTATTAGACCAGTAATGTGCCTAGACCAATAGGCAGGCAAAGTAAAACAGCAACACATCTTTACCTAATTAAATAAATGCAACACATCTTTTCATAGTTAAACAAATATTCCATAATAGGCATATATGTATATGTGTGTGTCTTGATCATATCCACCCCCAGATATCCCTGGACCTCCCAAGTCCTCCTTTACACCTTTATGTCCTCTTCTTTATTTTTAAAGAACAATCTGCTGAATCCACTTGGGTCTCGGCAGTAGGCCATCCCCTACCATTGCCTGTACCCCCAGAAGAATTATTTCTCCAGTAGCCATCAAACACCAGTAGCTCCTCAACCTCACACCCCCAAACCCATCCCCAGTGCTGGAATGTTGACTGGCTTGCTCCTGTGCAGGTCTGTGCAGATGATCACAGCCACTGTAGACTCATGAGTACAGTCGGTCGTGTCCAGAAGATAGCATTTCACAGTGTTCCTTCCTAAATCAAGAAATGGGATACCTTGTTCTACTTGTTCTTAATATTGCCTTGGGCATTTGATTTTTGTTATTGTTTTGTTTTTTATATTTACATACACATTTTAGGATTGTTTTTATATTTCTATGGAATTTTGATAGGGTTTGCATCAAATCTGTAAATTGTCAGAGAAAACAGGTTAAGTCAAAAACTGTTACAAGAGGGGCTGGAGAGATGGTGATCCTGGATTGTATAAGAACGGAAAAAGCCCGCTGAACACTGTACTGTGTTCCATTGTTCTCTGCTTTTGACTGGGTAGTGGCTCTTTGAAGTTCCGACCACCTGGCCATCCCACAATAATTGTGAGCCAAATAAACATTTTTCTGTGAGTGGCTTTTTAACCAGTCACATTAATTGATTTGCATCTGTTTCATTTTCCTTGCATCGTAGGGATAAATCCTACATGTAATCATGTAAATTCTTTTTAGTTCTGGATTCCATTTCTTCTAATACTTTTGAGAAGTCACATCAGTGTCCATCATAGATGTTGTCCTATGGTTTCCTTTTTTGGTGTTGTGAAGAGACCTGCAATAAACATAAACACAGGTACCTCTGTAGTTTGATGTAGATCTCTTCGAGTGTTTGTCCATGAGGGGTATAGTTGGCTCATATATATGGAAGACCTATTGGTTAACTTTTTGAAAAAATTTCACACTGATTTCCATAATGGCTGAACAGTTTACACTCTGTCATCAGTAAATGAATCTTCCTCTTTCTGCACACACTTTGTATCATTTGTTGTCATTGGTCGTCTTGATGATAGCATTCCGAGTGGGGTGATAGAGAATCTCAGAGTAGTTATAATTTGCATTTCCCTAGTGGCTAAGGATGTTGAACAGTTTTAAAAATAATTTATTAGCCATTGTATTTCTCCCTTGAGGAAGTCTGTATTTAGCTTCTTTTCATGGGGTAGGGCTATTTGCTTTTTTGTTTATAGTTTATAGTCACCTGCTAGATGGATAGATGGCCAAGATTCTCTTGCATTCTGTAGCCTGTTTTCTCACGTGGTTAGCAGGTTTCTTTGAATTTCACAAGGCCCCATTTGTCAGCCACCCATCTTGTTTCCTGAGTGACTTTCCTGTGCCAGTGTGTTATTTCTCTGTAGCTGCTTCAGAGTTTCAGGTCTTAGGCTAAGAGCTTTGCCCATCTCTGTTGTCTGTAGCATGTGTATATATTTAGGTGCATAGATGTGGGGAACATGTGTGTTTACAGTTATGTCATCACAGTCAGTTGTACTTTTATCATTCATATCTTTGTCTCTTATAACAGGTTTTTTCCTTAAAAAATGATTTTATTATTTTTATGTGTATGGTGTTTTGCCTGTGTGTGCCATGTGTACACCTGGTGCCTACAGAGGCCAGAAGAGGGCATTGGATTTCCTGTAACTGGAGTTACGGATGGTTGTAGTGTTGGGAACTGAACCTGGCTCTTTTGGAAAAGCAGCAAGTGCTCTTACCTGATGAACCATCTCTCCAGCCCCCCTGTAACAGTTTTGACTTAACCTGTTTTCTCTGACGTAAGCAGATAAAGGCTAATTCAGGTGCTGTAGACAGTTGTTAGTGATGTGGTAATTAATGTAATTAAAAGGGCTCACTCATTGGCACAGGATGTATTAACGGCTTCAACAATCAGGTCTTCTGAGTAGAATCCTATAAGAAATGGTATTCTAGTTAATGTGAAGCTGCCAATAATTAGGGAAGATGATTTTTTTTTTTTTTTTTTTTTTTCGAGACAGGGTTTCTCTGTGTAGCTTTGCGCCTTTCCTGGAACTCACTTGGTAGCCCAGGCTGGCCTCGAACTCACAGAGATCCGCCTGCCTCTGCCTCCCGAGTGCTGGGATTAAAGGCGTGCGCCACCACCGCCCGGCTGGGAAGATGATATTAATGGAAGAGTTTTTATTGTTTCCTACTTTTCCATTATCTTGACGTTTAGACTGTGAATAATAGATCCAGAGCATATAAAGAGTATGAGTTCTGTTAGTTTTGTGTTACTAATGGCATTGGATATCTTCCGTCCCTTCACTTTTAACTTAGGTGTACTTAACACCAAACTGTATTTCTGCTAGGCAGCATGTAATAGGACTGTCTTTTTAAAAATTCATCTAGCTACTCTGTGTCCATTAGGGAAAGATTTATTTCTGCTGTTTTGTTAATTGCTTTTTAATCCCCCTCCCTTTCTTTTTTTAAATCCATGTTTCTTTCTTTTTCTGGGCATCTGGAATGTTCTAAAGTCAGACAGGTATAGTGTGGGCTACAGTTGCACATGTGCCCGGTTTCAGTGTAGAGTCCGAAGTGTGTTCTGAAGTTATCAGCAAGGTCCATTATTTACTTAACTCATTGCTATGACCACATACCTGGTAAGAAAGAGCGTCGGGAGGGAGGGAGGGAGGGTTTGCTCACATTTTAGGAAGAGATGGTCCATCGTGCTGAGGAAGGCATGGTGGCAAGACCAAGAAGAGGCTTGTCACATTGCATCCACAGTCAGGAAGCAGAGTGTATAGAATGTAGGTCCAGGCCATAGACCCTCCAGACCTGTCTCCAGGGACCCACCGCCAGCAAGGCACTACCTCCTTTTTGGAGAAGGTTTATCTGAGTTCTTTTAATTAGAAAGTTTGAGTTCTTTAACCAAGAAAATGGGTGATGTCTTTAGAGAAAGAGAAACCCAGCAGAGATGCTCTCTGCACACTTGCTTTTATCCAGTGGCTTGGCTCCTGCAGAACTCTGTTTTATAGTAATCACTGGAGTGGTTAAATATCCAAGTCAAAATACTTAATTTGAACACAGAATTATGTGCTGATTAATTCTTATTCTGCCATCCTTCAGTCAGAATCAGAGTTAAACTTACTGCTAGGGAAAAGAAGTTGACAGTCACAATGAGAAGCCAGACTATCCTTGTTATGCTAGAAGAGAACCATCCTAGAGTCTCAAAGATAAAACCCAAGTTCTCTCCTGAGCTACGTTGAATCTCTTCTCTGTTCTGTTTAAGACCCATAGCTCCACTCTGTTCAAGTAGGCCCAGTTGAATTTTCAGAAGAGCTGTAAATGTCATGTGTGCACTGTTTTGTCTAGCTGTGTAGATGCCCACTGAGGCTGTCCACATCGGATGGGTGATTGAATCGTGATTTCTGGTAGTCCTCAGATGCTGGTGTGACTGAGTTTGTAGAAAGTCAATCCATGAGAAGATCTAACATAATGGTTTTAAGTACATGTAAGTTATACTTTAAACATAGTCTCTGTTTTATTTTTTCCTTTTCAGCCAATCCTGAGACAAAAGAAACATTTTAATTCACTGCACATTCCGAAAGCCTTGCAGAAAGCTCTGCCATTTAAGAACAAGCCCAAGATCCAAGCAAAGGCCGGCAGAGTACCAAAGGACAGGCAGAGACCGGCTGTCATACGTGAACCTCATGAGAGGAAGGTACTGTGTGAGAGTGACTTATTCCTCATTGCATTTAGATGTGGAAACAGTGCTTCCAGCAGCACACTTGTCAATGTCTGCTGTATTCTGAGTTCATCGGGAGCACAAGGGCCAGATCGATGCAGGGCCCTTGACCTAGAAGTTGGAGGAAGAACCAGGGGCTACTTGACATCCTTTGTTACTCATAGTCCTCCTATATTTGGATAGGGAGTAAGGGACCCCTATCTGGTGAACCACTCAGCTAGTTACATATGGTTCCATATAGTGATAAATATGGGTCTTTATCATAGAGGTAAACCGCATACATACCTACATCCCCATGCAAGTTGTGACAAATTTTCACTCAATTAATTTCCACTTGGGATTGAATCTCATTTGATAGCAGCAGTCAGTGTGGTGAGGTCCTGACTACGTAGGTGATGGGCAGGCTCCAGCTGGCTTGTGCTCACCACTTCTTGTCTTGTCAGGTCCTGGCTCTGCTCGATGCTCTGAGCACAATACACAGTCAGAAAATGAAAAAGGCCAAAGAGCAGAGACACCTGCACAACAAGGAGCATGTGAAGATGAAGCAGAAGGAGGAAGAGGAGAAGCTGAGGCGGCAGAAGGACCTGAGGAAGAAGCTCTTCCGGATCCAGGGTCAGAAGCAGAAACGAAGTCAGAAGTCCAGTCTGAGAGGAGCCGAGGAGAGCTGAAGTGTCTCCAGAACGGAGGGGCTGTCCTCTAGAGCTGCAGCCATGGTGCTTCAGTGCTTATGACAAGTCAGGGTGAGAGCCCGAGGAGACTGTGCCTTGAGGAGGACTGTAGAGCCTGCTGGAGGGATGTGTGCTTGTGAAACAGGTCACAGCAGGGTCTGTGAATTAGCTCATTGCTTCTCCCTGTCTCGGTTTATTTTGTGCTATAAAATTATTAAACTATTTTCCCATTAATTTTGGCCTAGTGATTTATTTGGGGGTGAATACATGACGGTTTGCTTATAAATAACTGCTTACTCTACTGTGTTCATGAGATTCCTAGGGAGAAAAAATATTAACTCAAGCTTTTGGATTTTGTATGAAGGGTACATTGTTTTAGCAATCTTTTTTTGATTTTTTTTTTTAATCTCTTTCATCACTGTTCCTAGTGGGTATTTCATGTCTTATTTTATGGGTTAACACAATAGCTAGATAAAGTAAGTGCTTTTGTTTTGTTTTTGGTGTTTTTGAGACAGGGTCTCTCTATGTAGCTCTGGTTGTCCTGGAACTTACCATGTAGACCAAGCCATCCTTGAACTCACAGAGATCTACCGCCTGCCTCTGCATCCTGAGAGCTGGGACTAAAGGTAGGCACCACCATGCTTGGCCTAAAGTAAATACTTTTAAAAAGCTTTAAGCCAGGGAATTGTGGTCCTGGCTTAGATGATCCTCATGCATTATACTTGACTTTATTTGTTTTGTTTTTAAATAAACTTACTTATTTATGTTACATTCCTGCTGCAGTTTCCCCTCCCTCCTCTCCTCCCAGTCTCCCCCCCCCATCACCCCTCTGTTCCTACCCCCTAATCCACTTCTCTGTTTTTGTTTAGGAAAGGGCAGGCCTCCCATGGATATCACCAAAGCATGGCATATCAAGTTGCAGTAAGACTAAGCACCTCCCCATGTATTAAGGTTGGGCAAGGCAATCCAGTATGAGGAGTAGGGTCCCAAAAGCCAGTAAGAGTCAGAGACATTGTTGGAGACCCACAAGAAGACCAAACTACACAATTGTAACATATATGCAGAGTGTCTAGGTCAGTCCCAGGCAGGCTCTCTGATTGTCGGTTCAGTCTCTGTGAGCTCCTATGAGCCCAGGCTAGTTGATTCTGTGACTTTTCTTATGGTGTCCTTGACCCCTCTGGCTCCTACACTCCTTTCTCCTCTTCTACAGAATTCCCTGAACTCTGCCTGATGTTTGGTTGTAAGTCTGCATCTGTTTCCATCAGTTGCTGAATGACACTTCTCTGATGACAATTGGGCTAGGCACCAGTCTGGTCACAGGAGAAGGCCAGTTCAGGATATGTATCCACTATTGCTAGGAGTCTAAGCTGGGGTCATTCTTGTAGATTCCTGGGAGATTACCTTGTGCCAGGTTTTTACCTGACCCCAAAATGCCACTCCCTTTCCAGTAGTCCCTCAGTACTATCCACCTCCATAATCCAACAACCACCCCCCCCACCCCCGCAACCTGATTGCTCATGTTCCCATCCCCACCCGCCCTCAGTCCACTCATGAAATCTCTTCTATTTCCCCTTCCCAGGGAGACCTGGGTATCCCCCCATGAACCCTCCTCTTTGTTACCTAGTCTCTCTGGGTCTGTGAGTTGTAGCATAGTTATCCTTTATTTTACAGCTAATATCCACTTATAAGTGAGTGCATATCATATTTATCTTTCTGGGTCGGGGTTACCTCACTCAGGATGATCTTTTTCTAGTTCCATCTATTTGCCTTTAAATTTCCTGGTCAGCTGAGTAATACTCTGTTGTGTAAATGTACTACATTTCCTTTATCCATTTCTTGATTGAGGGACTTCTAGGTTGTTTTCAGGTTCTGGCTCTTACAAATAAAGCTGCTATGAACATAGTTGAGCAAGTGTCCTTGTGGTATGATTGAGCATCCTTTGGGTATATGCCCAAGAGTGGTATAGCTGGGTTTTGTGGTAGGTTGATTCCCAGTTTTCTGAGAAACTGCCACACTAACTTCCAAAGTGACTGTACAAGTTGGCACTCCCACCAGCAATAGAGGAGGGTTCCCCTTGCTCCACATCCTTTCTAACATGAGCTATTGCTTGTGTTTTTGATCTTAGTCATTCTGACAGGTATAAGATGGAATCTCAGAGTCATTTTGATTTTCATTTCCCTGGTGGCTAAGGATGTTGACAATCAAGTGTTTCTTGGCCATTTGAGATTCTTTTGTTGAGAATTCTCTGTTTAGATATGTACCCCATTTTTTAATTGGATTATTTGGTTTGTTGACATCTAGTTTCTTGAGTTCTTTACATATTTTGGAAGTCAGCCCTCTGTCAGATGTGGGGTTGATGAAGATCTTTTCCCATTCTGTAGGCTGCTGTTTTGTCCTATTGAGGTATCCTTTGCCTTACAGAAACTTCAATTTCATTAGGTCCCATTTATTAATTGTCAGTCTTAGTGCCTATGCTATTGGTGTCCTGTTTAGGAAATTGTCTCCTGTGCCAATGCGTTCAAGATTATTTCCCATTTTCTCTTCTATCAGGTTCAGTGTATCTGGATTTATGTTGAAGTCTTTGATCCACTTGGACTTGAGTTTTGTGCAGGGTGATAGATATGGATCTATTTGCATTCTTCTACATGCAGACATCCAGTTATGCCAGCACCATTTGTTGAAGATGCTTTCTTTTTTCCATTGTATAATTTTGGCTTCTTTGTCGAAAATCAGGTGTTCGCCAGCAGTGGTGACATACGCCTTTAATCCCAGCACTGGGAGGCAGAGCCAGGCGGATCTCTGTGAGTTCAAGGCCAGCCTGGGCTACAGAGTGAGTTCCAGGAAAGGTGCAAAGCTACACAGAGAAACCCTGTCTCGAAAAAACCAAAAAAAAAAAAAAAAAAAAAAAAGAAAAGAAAGAAAATCAGGTGTTCATGGGGTGTGGATTTATGTCTGGATCTTTGATTTGATTCCATTGATCCACCCATCTGTTTTTATGCCATGCGGTTTTTAGTACTATAGCTTTGTAGTAAAGTTTGAAATCAGGAATGGTGATACCTCTGGAAGTTCTTTTTTGTACAGGATTGTTTAGCTATTCTGGGTTTTTTGTTTTTCCATATGAAGTTGAGTATTGATTGTTCTTTCAAGATCTGTAAAGAATTCTGTTGGGATTTAATGGGGATTGCATTGAATCTGTAGATTGCTTTTGGTAAGATTGCCATTTTTACTATATTAATCCTACCAATCCATGAACATGGGAGATCCTTCCATCTTCTAATATCTTCAGTTTCTTTCTTCAAGGGCTTGAAGTTCTTGTCATACAGGTCTTTCACTTATTTGGTTAGAGTTACACCAAGATATTTTTATATTATTTGAGGCCATTGTAAAAGGGTGTTGATTATTGTACTATTTTGTTGATTTAGAAAAAAATCAAGAAAATTTAGAAAGAAGAGAACCAATTTGTTTCATTGATTCTTTATATTGTTCTGTTTCTTTATTGATTTCAGCCCTCAATTGATTATTTCCTGCAGTCTACTCCTCTTAGGTGTGTCTGCTTCTGTTTGTTGTAGAGCTTTCAGGTGTGCTGTTAAGTTGCTAGTATGAGCTCTCTCCAAATTCTTCATGAAGGCACTTAGCTCTGTGAACTTTCCTCTTAACACCACTTTCATTGTGTCTCATAAGTCTGAGTATGTTGTGCATTCATTTTCATTGAATTCTGGGATGTCTTTAACTTTATTTCTTTCTTGACCCAGTGGTAACACAGTAGGGAGTTGTTCAGTGTCCACAAGTTTGTAGGCTTTTTGTAATTTCTGTGGTTGAAACCCAGCTTTATTTCACAGTGATCTGATAAGATACAGGAGGCTATTTCAATTTTTGTTATATGTTGAGACTTGCTTTGTGGCCAAGATAATTTTAGAAAAGGTTCCATGCAATGCTGAGAAGGTATATTCTTTTGTGTTTGGGTGAAATGTTCTGTAGATATCTATTAAGTCCATTTGAGTCATAACATCTATTAGTTCCATTATTTCTCTGTTTAGTTTCTGTCTGGATGACTTGTCCAGTGGTGAGAGTGGGGTGTTAAAGTCTCCCACTACTAGAGTGTGGAGTTTGATGTGTGATTTAAGCTTTAGTAATGTTTCTTTTACAAATGTGGGTGCCCTTACATTGATGTTCAGAATTGAGACATCATCTCAGTAGATTTTTCCTTTGATGAATATGAAATGCCCTTCTCCATCTCTTTTGATGAATTTTGGTTAGAAGTCTATTTTGTTAGCTATTAAAATGGCTACACCAGCTTGTTTCTTAGGTCCATTTGATTGGAAATCTTTTCCCAACCCTTTACTCTGAGGTAATATCTGTCTTTGATGTTAAGGTGTTGTTTCTTGTATGCAGCAGAAGGATGGATCCTGTTATTATATTCATTCTGTTAGCCTGTGTCTTTTTATTGGTGAATTAAGTCCATCGATATTGATAATTGTTAATTAATTAACATTAATTAATGTTAATAATTGCTAATAATAGTTAATTCCTGTTATTTTGTTGATGGGTGTGTGTGTGTGTCCCTTCTTTGGGCTTTGCTGGTGTGAGATTATCTATTGCCTGTGTTTTTGTGGGTGTAGTTAACTTCCTAGGGTTGGAGTTTTCCTTCTAGTACCTTCTGTAGGGCTGGGTTTGTGGATAGATATTGTTTAAATTTGATTTTGTCATAAAATATCTTGTGATTCTGCCGGGCGGTGGTGGCGCACGCCTTTAATCCCAGCACTCGGGAGGCAGAGCCAGGCGGATCTCTGTGAGTTCGAGGCCAGCCTGGGCTACCAAGTGAGTTCCAGAAAAGGCGCAAAGCTATTCAGAGAAACCCTGTCTCGAAAAAAACAAAACAAAAAAAAAAAAAAAAAAAAAATATCTTGTGATTCTAATAGGTCTGCTTTTATATGTTCCTTGGCCTTTTCCCCTTGACACTTTTAATATTTTCTTTGTTCTGTATGTTTAGTGTTTTGATTATTATGTGACGAGGGGATTTTCTTTTCTGATTGAATCTCTGTGGTATTCTGTAAGCTTCTTGTACCTTTATAGGCATGTCCTTCTTTAGGTTGGGAAACTTCTTCTATGATTTTGTCAATATATTCTCTGAGTTTCTTCTTCTATTTCAATTTCTTATGTTTGGTCTTTTCATAGTGTCCCAGATTTCCTGGATATTTATGTTAGGAATTTTTCAGATTTAACATTTTCTTTAA